AGAATCTAAAACAGTCCATAATTCCAATATGCTATTATGGTAATGTATTATTGTTCATGATAGCAACATGTCTGCAAATTTAGGTTGCCATGTGAGAATAAAATAGATCACTATTCATCAGTAGATGTAAACAACTTGATTCCAATTGTCAACAATAGTGTGTAAATTCAACCAGTTTGTTCCATAACATATTATTGCTGTAAGAAAATCAAGATCATAGTCTATTTATAATTCAGCTTCAGAATGCAAATACAATCAAACAAAAATTCGAATTTTATTTATAATAGTCATTTTCTCCATACAACATAGCAAATAATAGATAGACAATTGTATAGTTGTTGACAACAAGGTCAAATCCATCTTCAGTCGGTATAGTAGTGAACTAATTGCGTTACTTTTACTAGTTTATATCTTAAATGGCAATATTTTACGACTCAATCACGCTTTTGATGTACTACCATTTTATTTTTATTATCGATCAACAATACAATCAAGGTGTTGATCGAATTGCTCATTAGCGCTCCCTTTTTGCGTTGATGTTGAAAGAATTCGATGCCGTGAATGTTTAGATAGCATTAGTTAGCGAGTAAAATTTTTCTTTCTTCAATCATTATCGCTATATTTGTAATCCTTATTGGCATTGTATTCAAACTTGCCATAGCTGTTGACATAAAGATAATGTAGAAACTAGTTGATAATATGGTCCCTCCCTCATTTGTCGTTATTGCCATGTAAATTTGGACAACATTAGAATGCCCTCCTCCTTTAAAAGCTCATTTATGTTGTTCTTGTCGATAATTTTATTTACATAATTGAGCTCTGATTTAGGAGACCTATAACTTTAGATCCGTTTGGAGAATTCCTATCTTACGATCCTATTTTGGACGGCTTTTACTGTCGAGTGATTTAGTTCAAATTTACTTTTAAAGTTACTATTTTTCCTATTTTATCTTGGCTACCATCATATTAGAGTCATCGGTTTCCAGAATAGCTTAAATACTTAAAGAACAAAGATCGCTAAGGATTATGATTCGGAGAATAGCTTTAAATATAAAAAAAATTACTAAAAACAAATAACATCGGAGTGTGTTAGAAGAATGATATATTAATGAGTCAATCCAATACTTGATGCTCACTGTAGCAAGTATAGGATAGGTTTATTATAATAGTATCGACGTTAATAAGTTACATATCAGCTGCATACAGATTAAATGGCTTAGTACTAGAGGAACAAAAATATTATTGCATTTAAGTTGTAGAATTAAATTTGTCAACTAATAATATTATTATTATTTGAACTTCGTTAACATGTAGCGATCCGGCTAAAATCATTGACATGAGAAATTTACTGATATTGTAAACGAAAACTGTTACTATTTGGACCGAATGTTAATTACTACACTTAAATTTGAAAGAATTGTAAATAAACAGACTCTACTTTTGGCCTAAACTTTATAAACAAGTTTGTAGTGATTGTAAAAACGAAAAGAGGAATACAAAACAGAAAGTCAGATTTAAACGCTTGTTAAAATTTAAAAATGTTCTTCTAATGTGCCTTCTATAGAGGCCTATAATTTAATCGAAAGTAGTTTCTATATTGCACATGTTATCTGTAAATATATTCATGAATTCGAAATTTCAGGAGTTGTTAAATAAACAATATACACAGGTGAGAAGGTAATCATAATACATTTAATAGCAGTTGCTCTCTCAGTTAAACTTTCATCAATTTATTAAATAATAATAACTGTTGATCTTAAATATGAGATCCTTAGTAGTATTTTTAAAATAGTTTATCAAAATGAAATGAAATGCCATTTAAGAGACTTGACATGAATATAATCATTCAGTCAATAACTAAGCTATAAATCAGGCGTAAATATTTGAATATGATAAAACTAACTGTGAAGGTGAATAAGCGAACAATATTTTAGTTTAGTAAATGATTATTTGCTATTACAGTTATGAATATTATTATCATCATGATGGGAATATATTTCGAATTCAACTATTAATGAACTGCGATGAATGAATTATCTTCTAACTGACATTTTTTCTAATTAGTAGTGGCATTAACCTGTGAAAAAATACTTGACAAATTGAAGACTATGGACAAATATGTAGTATAAATGACTTAATTCTCCGTAGATGGTAGTAATTAATTTGTTTATACTTTCTGATTTGAGAACAATTATTGATTAAATTTGCTAAATAGAATGTTAGGGTTATGTACTTAACACTAGAGGTATTTTATGAAGTAATCAATTATTTAATTATCTCTACAAATGTGATACTATTATTAAGACTTAGTAATACTAGATTTTGATTATATATTTTAGCTTACTAATTATTGCAATCAGATATCAAAGATAGATGTAAGAAATAAGCCCCTTGCCTGGATTAAATCATGATCGAACTGGAAATTACAGGATTCGCAAATTTGGTTTATGCATTATAGTAGTACAGAATTTGTGGCCGAGCATTTCTCAGCATCAAGAGAATTAATTGTTCAGCTTTACTTAAAAGAGATCAAAGATCAAATAAAGTTGTTATCAAGATTCCTGTTGATGTTTAAAATTAAAATAGATATTAAATGAAACAAAATACAATAAATACGAATTATCGACTATAAATTAGCAGCGTAGAATTGCGAAACAACCACGACTACATCACGATATATATGTCTTTGTCATGATAATACGAATGATAGCGATAAATTGATAAGATAATTTTAACGCATTGCAAGGGGTAAGCTTTCGTTACAGCTATCAATTCAAGTTGCATTCAAACGAAAGTACAAATAAATATTACTTGCCGAAAAAGAGACTCATGGCGAGAAAGAGCTGCCACAATCAAGATTTATAACAATTACAAGAATTTTACTGATTCATAAATAATAATCCACTTAGACATTAACGGTCGAAAAGAGTTATATTTTAGTCAAAAGGGCCAGTGGTTGATAAAAGTAAAATGTTCTAATTCATTTTGAGATGGAAACGCGACATAAACTCTTACTATGCGCTCTTAATTGTCCACTAAAATTAGATATCTCCGATTATCATTAATTAATTGTTTATAGATCTTTCTGATGCTGATTGCAATATAAAATTTATCACGTTATAAAAGTACTTCTTTTGAAAAATTATTATATATGCAAATAACTCGATATTATTATTTACCTTTACTATTCTATTATAGTTGCCAGTAGCATTTTTTACTATAAGAACTACTTTTCTAATTCCGATTTTTTTCCGTTAGAGAGTGAAGCTTACGGATAATTCTAACTGCGGGAAACATACGGTATATGTGCGTACTGCATATAAGTAATATTGAATAGGCAAAGTATTGTTTCTCTCAAATTGGATTAAAGGTTGAAATTTATTAATACGAGTATAAATATAATCAATAGATTACATTTTATTTATTGATATATTATGTTTCTTAAGTAATATTACAGCAATCAGATGATAAAATATCAGATTCTAAAGCCTTTAGGGCTCCATTTTAATTTATGAAAAACAGGATGTTGCAACTACCATTGTAACAGAAATGAATGCTGCCATTTCAATCACCAATAAAATTTTTCATTCGTCCCACTGATTGAGTCAAACACTACAGTAGTTAATTGAGTCTCTAAGCGTTTAAAAACCTCAGACAACTAAGTACTTGAGTACTGTCTATGACTACTATCCTAAGTCTCACACAAAAATAGCCAATAACCGTATACGATAACTAAAACTTATCGCTATGCAAACACGAATGTTCTCATGGACATCTAAATTGAATTTTATATTTATAGAAATCTTTAGATCAAGACAACCTAAACTGATTTAGGTGATTTATCCAATCACTCGATGACAACTCATTCAAAATGTTTTAAATACGACTTCACTTAACCTGAGTCAAAGGCAGTTAATTACTTAAATAGTATAAGCATTTACACAACTAGCTACAGCCTACATGCAAATTGCGTGATTATGATTACATTCATTAATCGGAAAGTGTACGACTAGTTTTAACTACACGTATAGCGAATGCTATAATTAAGTTAAGGTTATTTAGATTGTGCGAAAATGCTTCAAGTTGTACGTTAGAATCTAAAATATAACATATTTGGATTGTAGATTCTGATGCAGTAAAATTCAATAGTTGTAGACTGAAGGTAGATAGCCTTTGGTAAGTTAATAGATGAATCAATTTATTTAAATTAATTAATAAAGTAAATTTTTTATAAGACATTAAAATTTTAGTTATAATCTTTTAAGGTCTTTTGTCCTAATGATTTCATTTCAGAGTAGCGAAAATGTAGTTACTGTCAACTCTATCATCAATTGATATTATTTAAAAGATTACGAGTATTACTGCAGACTGACATCTTTAATTGCATTTAAATAGCCTTCACGGGCTATGTATTTCATCTCTCTGATGATTCATATACGAAGCATTCACAATATTTTAGAGTACTACCATGAATACTTTAAAGTATGCTATGTAAATTTATACTGTTGTGTAAAAATGACTATAGTATCTGCACGATCAACTATTTAGATTACCGGTAATTGTTAGCAGATTATAATATCAGTAAGATAAGATCTACAAGATGACATGCTAACTCCACTAAGTTCGCAATTTATAATATGGTTATATATAGTTACATGCATTTAAGATTCTATCGGGTTGGAGTCTTGCATTAGTATGGATAATCATCTAGGTCCATTACTTATTTATTAAAAGCTGTAATTGGTCAAGATTTGTCTATCTTGTAACAAAAATAGTATCGCAAGATCACTACTAAGTTAGGAAATTTTGAAAGTTTATTGTTGTTAATTTCAGTTGATCTTCATAACTAACAGTTATTAATAGCTATATATGGTGTCAGCATAAATGTAAATAGTGTTGAAGGAATACCAGCTTCAGTGTATTTTACAGTACATTACTGATATAGTAAAGTGTAGGCTAGTTGTTCAAAAGAATTGAAATAATTGTAATATCGTGCACATCTAAAAATCTGGATCTGATTCGTCGTTTGAATCCCAGCTACACGCATCAACATCGACTCTTTCAAATTCAACGTCTAAATCGTACTGGAAAGTATCATCTCCAGGTTTAATTCTATTAGCTTCAAAGGACACGTCCATTTTCTTTTTAATGCGATCTAGTTCGACTTCATCTACTTTATTGAAGTCTTCATTTAGTACTTTTTCATCAACAGTAGTGCTAGCGCGTTTAAATGGGTTATCCTCCTTAATGGCATTGTCATTTGAATTTATTTCAGTCTCCGGTTCTTCAGCCAATGTCAGGTGATTTATTAATTTACCTATCAGTCTTTTTAGCTAAGTTTGAAACGACAGAATAAATTTCATGATTATAATGGTACGATGAAGTATTTATGGAGGTTTAGTAAATGCTATTTTTACAGTTTAGCTGGAAAGTAAAGAAGTATGTAATGAATTTTTGGGTTTTAAAATTGAAGAATCAGCTTACTTGTGATTTTGATATCTTGCTTAGATAGTACGAATTCTTCGATCTTTGCATTAACTGATCGAGTAAATCTTCTGAGCTATAAGCATAAAAGGAGACCATTATGGTGTAGATTAAGGTTAAGTTATTGGCCATGGTATGGATTTTGCAATTAAGTACCTACAAGTATATCCTTTACTAGTTTATATGCTAGTGAACTAAATTAAATATGCTTTGTAATCGGTATTAACTTTACTTCATGCAATAAGGCGTAGCTTTTTATTTAACTTCTACATACTGTAGATTTGAAACTATTTGATAATCAAAAAATTTATGGAAAAGATGATTCAGACGAAAAGATATGGAGTTTAAACAATTTAATAAGTAACATCGAGCTACGTTTTCAAACTTTTTCTTGCTTTATGTATAATAAGATTATTGGTTCAATAAGAATTAACCTTTGGATTATTTAGATTAACGAGGTTGCATATCTAGTCAACATATACGTACTTAGAGCTTGAATTTATTCCACGTATGGGCATAGACCGCCGATGTGTGCTACCTAATCAAAGATCGATAATAATGATCAAGTTTAGAATTTAATAAGCTCAGGAAGTTTTACTCTTTTTACTTAGGACCTGCTAGTAGTCAGGCTGCATTGTGCATAGCTCATAATTTACGGAATCGAAGTCAGATATATGGCTATGATGCCAAAATTGAATGATTTAGAATTTGTAGTTATGAATTTTTCTTTCGTAGTGTCAACTAGTTAATCGTCAATTTAAAATGAAACTTCTCCGGTTAAACTGAGTCTGGCGCATTAAACTAGCTAGCATTTTACGATAATGTTCAGTATATCATTGATTAATATGCGGTCTACTTGTGGCAATGATGATGAGATTAGTGGAAATTGATTGTAAATGGTTGGAATACTGATACGCTATATAAATGATTCATCTTGAACCAATTTAGATGATATTTATTGGTTTAAAATTCGTCCTACCTGTCTCGTCTGATATATAAAAAATGACCAGTGTTGGTGGCGAGTATCGTATTCCACAGTGTTTGACCACTGGCATTTTAAAGGATGAATCAGCTGTAAAATCCAACTTATTTCAGTAATTTATTTCAATCATCCATCAATACCCGATATACGAGCAAATATAAGACAACTATCCAATTCTACACAGTAAATTCAAGCTTGACTTACGATGTTCTTTAGGATAATGGTATACTGTAAGTCTATCGATTTGTTTGGATAGCCACTACTCTAGCTAGCAAATTTGGATGAAATTCAATAGCATTTGCACCAGGATAGAGGTAGATGTAATTAATTCTTCAGAGATGTTTTCATCCTTATCCTACCACTACCACCTAGCCTCCAGTTCATTAGTAATTCTAATTATTTCAATCTAAGAGTAAATAAATTATTATTTTGAAATGATAAATGAACCGACTGAACCGTTAATCTACAGTACCGTACTATCTGGTTACAGTACTAACTGCGGCAGACTCGTACTGTGCACTGTAGCCTAGCAGACTCTCCTGAGTCTGCAGTCCTATCGCGCACTCTCAAATATAAAACACTACAGTAGCTGCTATCAAGCCTTTCAGACTGGCATCTCTATGCTCTGTAGACTAGAGACCGTATAATGTCAAGATATCATTTTGCGCCATTGCTGAAATTCAAGAATTAAATTCAATTTGTTATTTCTGTGTTTGCCTGACTCTACAAGTAACAACCATTTCATAATAGATAATTAACGGCGCTTGTGTGCGTACAAATGTCCCTTAAAAAAATGTTATAGAAGTTTTGCCCTTTCTGTCATATCCTGACACTACAAGTATTAAACATTTCATAATTATTGGCGCTCATGTATGTACAAATGCCTGTGAATAAAATGTTATAAGTTTTGGGGTCTCAGTCTTTGCTTGACTTTACAAAGTAGCAAATATTTCATAATCAAGGTTAACAGTGCTCATGTACGTATAAACGTCCCGGAATAAATTGTTATAAGTTTTGCCGTTTCTGTCTTTGTCTGGCTCTACAAGTAACAATATTTCATAATATAATTAATTAATTAATAATATAATTAACATCGCTCATGCACCTATAACTGTTCTTGAATGAAAGTGCTGTAAGTCTTGCCTTTAAATCGATAGAAAACTATTATTTTTTCATGGTACAGTTACACTGTACACTGATCGCTTCCCTTTGATATGTCATGATCGGTAGACTACATTTAAATAAAACGTATAAAAAATACAAGTCATGAATGTAATTAGGCATATCGCAACCATGCATTTTTGATGAATTTCTGATGCAAAATTGCAATATCGAATGGAAGGGGTCACAACACTAGTGTACAGTAGAATTGCAGTAGCCCGCGAACCGGTAGAAGCTTCTTTCTTTTTATACTCATAGAATTTTTTTGACCTCTTTGGCATTTCCTGCTCTATATGGCTCTAGCACTGAATGTAAATATACAATTGTAAGTAGTATGATCCGTTCAAAGCAAAAAAGAAATTGCTATTACACAACAGTGTGCATTGCCAGTACTCATTGCAATATCCTTCTCATTCACTCCGAATCCAAAATTATTTCATCTCGATCAGACTCCAATCCGAAATCCAATGTTTTTTAATTCAACTGCAATACAGTGTAGGTATGTCGTACACGAATCACGAATGCAGTATGATCTATTTTGAACTTTAAAGTGTATACTACTGTAACTGTACACTGTTATACCATGACACAGCCGGACCCGCTATGCACTGTAGTGTATAGTTAAGTGGACAGGGTTAATTTAAGCTGCCGTTTATTATTTAGATAAAAATACTACAAGATTATTTTAATTAAATATATATTAATTAGAATTTATTATTAGCTCAGTTAACAAGTATCCAGTTGTTATGTATGTACTTCGTAATACTACTTGAGTCAGGTAATAGTCTTGTATAGTGAGTAAATTGATCTAAAGTTTATTAGAAAGCTGGAACGTAACAAAGATAAGATAGATTTAGTGGTTATTCTAAATCTGTAAGCATAAATCAGTGACGTATATTCGTATTTGTAGTAATCGTAAGGTAAGTCAAGTATAAGCACAGAGTGAATGCAGATGTAACAGTATGATTAATGTGAAATTATACCAGTCTCAAGTCGAAAAGAATAGAATAAAAGAACTATTCAGAAAAACTTATTCAAACAACAAAAACATCCGCTAGCATAGTTACAAATCAGGCGCACTTTCCCATGAGTTACATGCATGAAAGTCTATTCTAGGCGAACATGAAACGCGTGCACTTGTGTAACAATAAGCGTGATCACTATATTATGTGCGCGTGATAGTACATAGATGTAGCAATGACATTATGCATGTTAACAACTCTAGATATGCAATATCTATCTAACGTGCTATCATATTGTAATACCACTTTAATCGAAGATAGGATATCAAACGGCCAGATGCGTTGGTTGTCAGGCTCTACATAGGCTATAGCTACTGTAAGCAAGCTAATAATCTGCAGCTGTGCGATCTATATGCTGAACTCGTCTTTGCTAGTTGTCATATCATACTATACTATATTTTCAGTCTACTACATTCACGCTGGAAAAATTTTGTGTCTACCTATAATTCACTGAGATACAAAATTGATAGCTATATCCACAACTAAATTTCGTACTTTAGTGTTCAATCTGTCTTTTGTGTTATTTAGCTATGTAATCAATCTACTGTATTTGCTAATCAAATAAGCTTTCCCTTTGGAATATAGACCACTATTGCAGACCACTATTACAGGGGCGTGGCGAGTCCTCTAAAATGATTGAAAGATGTTCAACTATAGTGTTGCCTTGAGTTATGTCTTTAAATTGTGAAGAAATGTACTTTAAATTTGGCTCCAATTCCATGCAGACAGATCAGTACAACCTTGAGCAATTGGCTCTTGATAGTTTGATTACTTTTTATCGCAGTATTGTATAGTTCTATTTCTTTCAAGTTTGTAATATAAGCTATAAGTCGCTGTTACATGTTTGGTCGATCCAACTATTTTACAAGTCATTTCGTAATATCGGTCTATATTGTCTCGTCGCATAAAAGTTGACCTTAGTAATTGGATCATGCTGCCCTTTTAAAAGTCAACGCTTTGATTATTCATCTTCTAGATGTTGCTCTTTATGCTTTTCCTTTACATTTAGTCTATCCGATAAATCTTCAATATCCTTTACATGTATGATATTAGACCGATTCCGAATACACAAAGTTGAAAAAAGTTGTGCTTCGACAGCGTAATATGGAGTAACATGGAATTGTCCAAGATTGATTTTTTTCGACTTTGTGCATACTGAATCGGCCTAATATATAAGAAACTGGCATTATAAATGCTAAGATGTACATTTATAATTCTATGTTGTATCAGAATGATTTTATCAGCATTATCATAATGCACTCCGTTAATATTTACGTACTTTGAATACTAAACCTTTCCGCTTTATCACTAACAATATCACTCCATGCAATTATACGGACGTGGGCTAGCTTCAATATGAAATTACAAAACGTAGACCATGAATACGAAATCTTTACGTTAAATGAAATCGACTGCTTAATTCCTTTCTACTGTTACAGCGAAGGAATCGGCAAGGATTGTTAGAGAGATATTATATTTTGCGATCTAATGCAATTAAGCAAGCTAAGGTACCATATCTAGTAGTAAATCTTTTAAAATAAAGAGCCTTACACACTTTCATTGCAGAGATTTTCATTATAAGATGGAATACGAAAACAAGAGAATTTTAACCTTAGCCTTTGTCTCATACATTAATCCTGTTTCAAGCTGGTCCGGATGTTAAAGGTTACGTCCTATTTCATTTTGATCAATGTATCTCTCACCGGCATCACAGTATCAAAGTATCAGTTGTGATCGTAGTTATAGATGTCAGTTAATGCAGGAAGTTAAAAAAAATGAACCAACTTCCTGCAGTCAGAATTGTGCTTTTAGGTATGCTAATTAAGATAAGTAGAATTATGCAGAAGTGTCCGTACTCTTGTAAGAGTTTGATTGTTTTAAGTTCTTACTGGTACTTAGAAGATACGAAGCAATCACATGATGTCATTCCCTGAAGTAAAGTATTACTATTCATTACTTTCTATGCTGATAAATACATTCTGATATAGAACATAGGGAAGGTGGCTTTGCTTGCTTACCGAACGAAATTTTTCGGTGTTATTATGAATACTTTACAAAAATAACTCTTTCGTTAAAACTTTTCATATTATTCAAGTGATTGCAACGGTAAAGAAAAACTTGTAGTAATAACCAGGAAATGATCAATTACAAAATTTATAATTATGGCTACCGGCACTAGAAATTTCTGCTCAAATTATGCAAACGGAACATCGGATGATGTAACCAACATTCCATTGGAAATCTTATTTAAACTTAATACTTGTTTTGGGCATAGACTGATGTATGTTCAACTCCTACAGTGTAGTTGGCACAGACAGTACATTCCAATCATTGTTGTCATTTAATATGATCATTGTCTATTATCATTCTACAGTAGTTTATACCAGGAATATTAACCGTCATTTAGCAATTGCGGCGCTATGATTTATTAATTAAAGCGATTGAAGATTGATTGGATATTTTTAAATAATAAAATTAACTCGCGAAAACACCAATATTACAAATTGCCTGTATTCAAGCTGAAAAACTGCAGCTAGGTATTGTAAAAGTAAAGTGCCAGTATGGTATTGGATGTAGGAGTACTGTACTAGTATTAAATTTATATATGTTACGTATATACGAGTGTGCCCTTACGTAATTACGTAAGCAACAGTAAAAATTACTGTATTATGAAAAATATATCGTTGTTTGTCAGTTGTAGACGATCATTTTCTACGGAATCATTTGCTAATAGTCCCGGACTAGGGATAAAGCAGTCAACCACGCGAAGATATTGGAGTTTACTGTCCTGTACTTATTCTTAAGGCACAAAATTTTTCTATTACAGTGCAACAGATATATCCCGTCCATATAGGCTAATAAGAGTTGTATCGTTCCTATTACTGTCGTTTAGTATTTCTTGATAGTCAAATAGCGTAATGTGTTTGCCGCTTCATTCTACCCTGTAAGGTATACGTTACTGAATGGGTAATTACACAAACACCCGAAATTTCGTACTTATTCTTAGGACATACACTTTTTTTTATATCGAGAGAGAGATATCCCGGTATGTAGACTAATAGAGTTGCATAGCTCCTATTGCTGACGTTTACTATTTCTCTAGAGTAAAATAAGGTGATGTATTTACTAGCTCAATCTGTCCTATAATGTATACGTTAATGTATAGACAATTATAAATACACCTGAAATTTCGTTACCAAGGTAATGACCGGTAAGCGATCGGCGCATGTCTCCTTTCAGGTAAACAGTAAATTGCATAGCAAGCGTCCACAATTGCGTTACTGTCAACTTGATTCAAGTTATCTCATTTATAAATAGGAAGAGCACTTGGCTATTATACCTGTATTAGAGTTTTAATGTAATACTGTAGTATTATAGAATTGGATATCATGGCTGGTGATACCGAGAGGCAACCTAATTAATATTCCGTTCCCACGGTCTTCTATTCATGCCTTGTCCTCTTAGCCAATCATTTGCGACTGGCACGTGCCAGACGTACACTACTATTGGTTAACAATGAGGAACATTTATGTTTACCACCATTCCACACTTAGCCACGTATATCATTGACTACATGTATTATGTTAGCAATTGGACTGGATCATTTCTAATAATTCTACAATAATTAACAAGCAAGATTTCTTAATCTTAATCCCTCTTGTTTTCATCTTGTCTACTTTTATTTGATCGACGTCAACGTTGAATCGTTCTTATCATCGGCTTACTAGTTGCCAAGAAATAGCTTTGATTGCAAGCTTATTCATCTCCATTAAAATTCTAATTGAATCTACAGCTCCCCAGTACTGTCTTGAAAGTAGAATTCCATTTACAATACACGACCAAACGAATAAATATGGCAAGCAGACGTGTAAGTGATTGATATGACAGGTTGTTTATCGTAGTCGAAGTGATTCTTATAACTACCGTTAAAATATCAATAGTTCGCGTGTACCGCGCGTGTAACTGAATTATATCAGGTTACCCGTGAATTACTTCAAAGTCTTGACATTTTTAAGTAATATTAGAATATTATGTTTTATTCTAAATAATTTTTATTGACCCTGACTAATATGTTGGATTGATATAATTTAGTCATCGAAACCTCTCATGGAAAAGAGGCGCAGAGCTCGGATTAATGATAGTCTCAGCCAACTCAAAATGCTCATCTTAGAGGCTGTGAAGAAAGATGTACGACATAATTTGTTTATATATCTTAGCGCAATAATTGATAATTCTTGACTAGCTTGCAGAATTATATTTAAATATTGTAATTTAGGCCATATAGAATTATAGTAAAAATCCATAAATTATTATTTTTAGTAATAAAAATATTAAATTTAAAAAAACATCAAATAGCAAATATTATTATTACTATACAGAACTCAAGTTAACGAGATTTCAATATTGCATGATTATATATCTATATTGCGTATATGCATACAGTTAGCTTATATATATATATGCATAGGTATAATTATATAGGCTTTTTAGCTCCATAATTTTGCAGATCTAATCATACTGCTGCCTTAATTTTAATGTCAATGTTATCATTTTAATTAGCCATCGCGTCATGCTAAATTGGAAAAAGCTGATATTCTAGAAATGACCGTAAGATATTTACGCGCGATGCAAAAGCAACAAATAACAGGTAAAAGGGGTATTCCGTAATGGAAAAAATTTATAAATAATTGTTATTATTAATTAAATATATTCTAATGAATTATCAGTCTGTGTTGATCTATCTGTAAAATAACGTTCGTCGATATCGTAAAATTAATGTGATACAGCCTAAAGTTGCTCATTTAGTTTCAAGTTAATATTTTTTGGAATTATATTAATGTATCCTTCCACACTATCTATCATACATAACCATAGTTATAGCTTTGACTGCTAGTTTCATTATATTACATACATATATTATTTACTAAAATACTAAATAAAGTCAGTTTAGATATTATGATCATAATATCTGCCTAATGATAGCATCGATAGATAAAAGCATTAAACGTGAAATTTTGCAGTTAGTGAAGATCTGATTAATTTACTCTTCAATGAGATACTTTCTTACTTAATAGTACTTATATCTAATATATTATTATCTATATAGCTGCAATGAATTCCGATCCTGGCGTCATCAGTAAGTATAGCATGGGCTATAATGAATGTGCATCGGAAGTAGCACGCTATTTACTAACAAATAACAGCATCGATTCTTCGACCAGAGGAGGAATATTATCACACTTAGCAGGTTGCCGTAACGCTCTTAATCAACTTACTAATAGCGACTTAGCACGTCAACAAGTATCTTATCCAAGTTTACCTATGGCTACTGCGAATGATCAGTTAAATATGGCATCTGCTAGCTTCCCAGCTAGTTACGCCGTTCCAACTCGTAATGAAAGAGCAGCTATGATTTTACCAAATCGTTTAGCATGTTCATCTCCTATTATTCCTGTCTACGCAGATTCATTCTATTCTCCTTTAAATCATTCACTTACAGCATTTACCGGTCGCTGTGACGATCCAGTTTGGCGACCGTGGTAGAAAAGATGTTATCTCGACGGCATCAAATGATACATATAAGTAATACTGCACTATATTCGTTGCTTATAAAAGTAATCACTTGTTTCGAATCTCATCAGTTTTATATCGTACTGTGGATCATGTATATTTACAGCGTACATTCTAAACTCATTTCAATCTGATACGATTGATTATCTCATGATTAATAATTATAATTATGAATTATGTTAACTGTAAGTTCTTCATGATGTGGTATAAATTGTATCTTATTCTATTCAGATTAAAGTTAATTATCTATTATGTTTTGATTAGCGATTTGACTGCTTTTGGATTTATACTATTGCTGGCAATGATGCATGTGATACAGCAACACTCTCTGTTGAACCTTCGCTTAACATAAATTATTAAATTTGTATCCTCTTAACTATCGTAATGTATATTGCTTTTGATATTTGTTAAAAGAAAAGATATCGTGATTTTCCTGTGTAATCTCTCTTATTTATTAGACTTGATGATAACTGTATAGGCATTGAGTGCAAATTTGTGTACAAGTTAGTCATCTGCATGATGTACAGGTTAATAAAAAGATCATCGCTTTGTCAATTAGTTTCATAAAATTGGTTATTACGTATCGTAATTATTATAAAAAGACATTCTTCAACGTCGAATTTTCTAGTTTCAATATTAATTTATTGTCCCTTACAGTGATAATTGCTCTATTAGGTGTCGATATTCGATTATAGTACAGTTTTCATATTGGACAAGTTCTACGGTGGAAAATAACACCATGATGCATGCATTCAACTGTAGCCTAAACCTGGAAAATTATAGAAATATTGGTCTATATAGTCTGCCCCTGGTTTTCAGTTCATTTATATGTAGATAATATAATTTTTTATCTTAGTTGTAATCTAATGGAGTTAGAGGTTAATTGCTATGAAAGGGTCTCTTGCGTATTGTAATTTAAAAATATATATTCTCTATTGAAAGACTCATGTTGTGACCTCGTGGCGACACGGATAATTCACGATTATCCGGAGAAGTTCGTGCATTTAATTATATGATGATCAATGCAGACAATTGTGCAATGTGATTAGTAATTAGAACATTAGGAAATAATAGGGTTAAAAATAATTTATTTGTCTATATAAAAGCAAGCTCAGAGATAACCTAAATTTCGATTAAGTGTTAAATGCGAGTTCATAGGTAACTTATCAATTAGATGGCCTAAAATTATCTGCAATTATCCTAGATTAAAGATTGCAAGAATTAAATCTACTGTTTAGGTCTTTTTCTATCTATGTTAGCTAAGACAGATTAAACGCATGTATTTTACATCAATATTAAACATAAAGAAAGATCATGAGAAATGATGGTTTCAATGTAGTTTTAATCGCGGTAAAGACTACGAACCAGAGTAAGCCTATAAGATAAGTGGTACTGCCTTAAATGATCTTATAGTATCCATTATTTTGAACGCCTGCATACATTAATTATGAATTTCAAGTCGAAAGATTTGAAACGAGTTATAGAAGTAGCGCTATGATTGATCGTGTATTTGACAAAACAGTGATCAAATTGCGTAGCAAACTTAAAATTTTTTAATAGCAATGTTAATAAACTGTCCTTTTGCGCATATAGTTTGCCACACAATACAGTAGACACATATGAAGCTTGCACATTCAAATAATTACAATGATTCGTTATTTCAGTATTGTGAGTATACTTAATTTTAGCCTTGAAAGTAACAATATGTTATGGTTTCTGGTGTCAGTAGGGAGGATTGAGATTAAAAGAAAGGATCACCAAGCCGGTACTCTCAATAGATTAATATACGCAAAATTAAAATTTAAATTAGCATAACATTGGTTGTGATCTTTGCACGATTGTTACCAAAATCATTAAGACAATTATTTAAGCTAATATCTTTGTAAAGATTATTTTCTCAATGGCAGCATTATATTGAATTATGTTATTCGCTAAATATTCTGTTACACAGATTCGTAATGACGACAAAATATTTTTCAATGAACTGCTCCTGTAATAGGACCATCCCACTTTTTTAGACGTACGATCATTGCAGTACCGTGAATAGTAATAGTGTAAGAAAAGGTTAGCTGAAGCTCATCAGCCATTGCCATTTTCTCACCTTTTTCATTCATGATGTCCAACGATAAATGATAATTAAGATTTCGGGTTTCCGTTTTACACATTACTTTTAAATTTTTAACTTCAGAACAAAAAATAATTTAGAAAAATCGATAAGTAGATTATTGAGTTTAATCTGATTTAAAATAGCTGAAGTTCAAATGTAGAAAAATTTTATTTGATGGCTTTTTTCTTGTGCTGACTAGTAGAATTTATTAAATCAACTTTATGTATTATCACTGAGTACGATAACGGAATCGTTATTTAGATGGTATTATTTTAAAGTATCTTTCAATCTAGAAAGAAGTGAACCATTTTAATGACCAGAAATTAAATCAAGACTATAATGTGTTAAAGATAAGATAGATAACAATTTAGCGAACAATGCTTAATAGACTTATCTAGATGGTATTACGTTAAAGTATCTTTCAATTTAGAAAGAAAGCGAGCTATTTTGTGGACCAGAAATTAAGTTAAGGCTATAAAGCATTAAAAAAAGATAAAATATCTATAGATAACAATTTAGCAAACGATGTTTATCTCTTATGCCTTCGCGATGATTACATTTAGATGCTTTGTACCTGGAAAATAACGTAACCATACACTCCGTTAATTATTGTAGATAAGAGCACTATATAGTAAGAACGAAAAAAGGGGACGGTGAGATAATTTTAATTGCTATTGTGGAATAAATAAATCAATCATTGATTTTAAGGGATGAGAATGACAAAATTTGGTGAACAATTTTTACTTGTTTTCTCATCATTGACTAGAATTATTACAAGTAAAATTTCAAATTGTCAGTTGAACACTTTATTATGACAATGAGAGAAATTCTACTAATTTTATCCTTTTGTATACCATAGTTTGGCAAACAGGATGGAGGTATGATCTAAAATGTCGATGCAGCAACTTTTAAAAAGTGATCATTTTATGAAACTGTACAGAAATTGTGATATCGAGTGGTTTCGAGTTGCCTCTGGTTCTAAATAACTTAGCCTTTTCACATGTAATCTCCTTAGTAAACTGCAAGTTGATACAACGCGGTGATAATATAATAAGGTACTAGCACATCGAATACAAGGTATTTTATCAGCTGGATTGAATCAATCTACAGCTCTTAAGCGTTATAAATTGATTTATGTAGGTAGTACGTGTTTGGTGAAGAAAAATTTGAGAGTGTCTAACTTGATCAGTTCGAGCTCATAACAATATGGTTGAGATCTTTAACTCAGATTAGATCATCTAATAATCAAATAGAAATTCTAATTGTAACAATTCAACATCAGAATTAAAATCAGTCGTACAATATTATTTTTGATCTGATTCTCTTATTACAAAGGATCAAAACACTGCAATTAAAGATTTCTACCCGGTAAAGTAGTTCCTACTATATTATTTTTTTTAGATACAGAAAATTTGAGATCTATATCCGCTAAAATAAATTTAAAAAATGTTCTCCAGTAAACAAAATTATAGAAAAAATTTTAGTTTCAGAGTATTTCGACTTGAATAAAGCTATAGCTATTGAAAGTTAATCATGTATAGGCAAGCAATTATCATGAAAAATCGGTAAATACTATACAAGTTTGGTAAAACTACAGCAGTACCAAAAGTAGGGACCATAAAACGTGATCCAATTTTTGCAGTCAACTCAAGGCTTAGCTACTAATTTGATAGATTAATTAAGCTAATTTTGTCATATATCATATGTTTCTTTATATTTTAGCAGTTGATACTATGTATTCTATCGAAATTACTATTCTGTCTTGTTAACTCTGCCATGAAAGGTGGCTACTGCTAGATATACATTAGGCAAAAATCTATCTTCAGATGCGACAATGTATTATAAAATTTATATATGTTATGTTATATACCATAGTTACATATGGAATAGTTTGAAAATCGGCTAATATACTTCGATAGCAAAATATGCGAGTAGAGCGAGTGCAATAAATTTACCCTTTCAATGAATGTCGATTATCCAATAATTATGTGCCCAGTTAAATCTCAATCTATATTTATTATCGTAATTAGAAATCGTGCATTTCAATTTTTACTAAAGTAGAATAGATTAAGTGTTATTTAATTGATAATAGTTAATGTACAGTTGATTATTTAATTAAGTCATTAGCTGTGACCGTACCACCTATTACAATAACGGTATTAAAAATATCCTTTTAGGATTAATACTAAAACCTATTGATTTTGCATCTATGCTACCTAGTATTGCTTCTTGATCAGCAGAGTTTTCGTTGTTTAATGTATAATTATTTACATCAACATACCGCTTCTGATATTTACCGTTTGGGTTCGCTGTAGCTTCTGTTGTAATAGAGAGATGAATCAGACACTATTATTCAGTTTTATTATAGTATTACTGGGAAAATGTTGATAATGCTGATAATAATTGATTTCATAACCTCGTTATACTTGACATCAGGCAAGAAATGAATCGCTGTAATAGTTTCGAAGAATTTTAGCTAGAAAAGCAAATGCATAAAGGACGATATTTAGAATACTTACTAATTTAGCTATAATAAATATTAAAGGTTGATTTGTCTTAATCCGGGTTAAATTACATCTATATCTGTATCTATATTCGTTTGTATACAGTGTTCATGAAGTGATATTTAACGAAAAAAGTAGTATACGGGATTTTAGTTCCGTATTATTGAAGCCTGAACGTGCATACGAGGATTATCAAATTTGCATAAATGCTCTCTTTAATCAATAGCTATAGCGAATAAATTAATTTGATAGTAAGTCAATTTTTGATATACACACGTTAGCATATATAGTAAGCCTTTGGAAAATTGACCGAGTTACGCATGTCCGTTAGAGTAAAATAATAGTGATTCGTTTATATATATGAAATATATGGTAACGAGTACAATACATATTATACGTATATATACATATGTTATATATATATGCGTATACACTATCTATGGTGTTTAGACGCAGTTTACAGCCATTTTAGCGAGCGCATCATAAAGATATCTTCGATTATTTAGCATTCGAGTTGGAATACGCTCAAGTGAGGACATAGATAGTAGGCCAAAGGAATTTATTACTATTAACAGGAGGTAAAGATAAACAAATTCTTGATATGTTGACCTATCCTGACATTGTTTTTTTGCTATCTATTGCTAGCTTTGAGACTACGTACAGGCTCTACTTATCCAGGAAATAAAAATAGTTTGATTATAAATATATGTTATTGTCTGCTGTCTCTGAAACATAAGATTGCATCGATGTTCCTGTTTATATCATAAATGCTCGTTCATTGACCGTATAATTTCCGTAATTTTTTTCAATTTCACCGTTTTATTATTACTAGGAATAGGTAGTTACCGAAACTGATTGTTGTAGATAGGAAATTATAGACTGCTGTAGCAATTTAAAGAGTATTTTATGATTCTACTCGTGAAGGATATGTTTCGGTCGCAATAACAGATAATGTATAGTAAATTTATAGATCGTCAATCGTATCCATATGATACTTACATTGCACGAAGTGAGGTTATTTATTGTTCTCGTATATCAGAGAATAGAAAGGTATTGTAACTACCTGTAGATACATTAAGTAATTGTCTTAATATCTTCTTTATCTTAAAAGATTGATCAGCATAATTAATACGAATGACAAATGGCATATTATAATGCTACTAAGTGTTCATGATCTTGAAATTGTTGCAGTATCCATCCTTCTAAATAAAGCGTCATGCTAATCATATATATTCTTTGATTTGACTTTAGTTTCTATTGACTCTTTTGAAATATTTCTTAAATAGTATCAAAAGTTCTATTTTTACAGGTAAAGATAGAACAAGCTAATTCTTAATTAGGTATTTGCTGCCGGATGAGTACGATGGATAAAGTAGATGATCCTGTAAGCATGATTTTAAGAGCTAAAGATTGACTATATCATTAGTTTTGATCACTTTCCTTAATCTCTGTAAAATATACTTTCATAATATAATTTATATAGCTATTTTTACGTAGAAAAAAATTACTATTATGGATATCGTATGCCTAATATAAGCTCATATCTGTGCTTGTTCGTTACCCTACATATTCATTACATCAACACAATAATTGTAAAATTATATATTATTTGAATTTTCATCATGAAGAGTATTTGCAATTATTTGCGTGAATTTAAAAAGAAATCCTGTCAAGCCTATAAACCGGACAAAAACCATACAGGTAGAAATAAGTAAGTGTTCATTATGAATTAAAATCTTGTCTTTCAAGACATTCTATAAGATTATTATCGAATTCATACGACATGATATAATTTATGTATAATAAACTTCCAGGTGTACTTGCGGATTATATAGAGAAGACCATGAATGTATAGGTCGATTTCCGCAACAACCTTCAGACCAATATGTTCATTTACCAACAGATGCTTATGGAAGTATAGAGTTTATTGATCAGGTTCATGGATTTCAAAATGCTAAAGTGAGTAAGTTAGACGTAATTATGTCTAAATTGAACTATGGGTCATTCATTGATGGTAGTTTGACGTTTATTAATGATTCCACGTTTTATTCATTCCCGAAATTTGTACTTCTGGATATATTCTTTAATAATATAATATATCTGTGACCGTAGTTAGATATGATATACGAGATATTGAAAGGTATTTACATCATAATTCAGTTAAGTGGAGTATCCTAATAAAGCAATTAATGATGCCCTTTTCTTTCAACTTATATAATAGCTGCATGGATTTTGTACGCTATATTTTGCACATATTACCTTTGAGTATGCTCATGATTTTAATAATTGCATTGAGCGATTTTAAGTTATTATTATCATTTCTTCATAGTACATTCGTTTAGCTAATGATACAAAAATGGATAAGGTGGCACGTTTGCTTCGTGATGTGTGGAAGTTAATTGATAATAAGCAGCTACCAGATGTTATTTTATCCATTGGTGGCGGAGTTAAAGAATATAGGCCTAATAAAATTCTCGAAGAGAAGTTCCATGCCACCTTGATCAACGCAGCTGAAAATAATAACGTGTGGCTACTTACATGTGGCGCATTTGTTGGAGTCAGTAAAAATGTTGGAGAAGCTATGTTCGAATCTTTCTTTGAGCAATGGGCGTGCAATGATCGCATTAAGAAACCGAATAACTTAAAGTGTATTGGTGTTGCACCTTGGGGTTACATAGCTGACTCAAATAAATTAATTAATGACCCTAAAAATAATCTTAATGTATGTAGGATAGGACTCCAGTTCAATATAATTCAATTCATATTCTGACTTATTAGAGACTTATTTTATAATAAAATCGTTCAAAGAAATAATTTTTAGCCAATTTACAAACATTTATCGCTTTTAGCTGTATTTTATGTCCATTTGGCTCTCATTACTTACTGTTTTTTTGTGAAAAAGGAAGTTTAAGTCTTAAAAATTTTCGATTATAAGCCACTATGGCTATTAGTATAGTCAGATAAAAGAAGTGACTGCATTTCGTAATCCATTAATCAATTTTATAGCTAACACTGAAAGATTAAGTCGCTAATTTTATTTCGTTGTGGGTTGATTTATCTATAATTATAATCAGAGGGTTACCGTCTAAAATTTTGCCACCTTTAAATATTTAGCCAAAGAAGTATTCCGTGAATGCGTTGGTTGAACGTGGAAAGCCAACTTCGCTTGATCCATATCATACTCACTTTCTCTTGGTAGACGATGGTTCCCATGGCCGTTACGGCACAGAAATCGAATTTAGAGCTATGCTGGAAGCTTATTTAACAAAGAACTTAGGTGAATGTTAGAATAGTTTCATTCTTTGAAACACCTACGAGTATCTCTTTTGGCATGCTTATTATTATCTAAGAAAAGCTCTTATGATCGTTTGATATCAAGTAAATTAGGTTAATACAGAAGCAGTTGTAATGGGTAATTAAAGTTAAATATCATTATTAATGAGTCATATTATAACTGTTGTGTACGTAAACTATCATGATAGTGAAGGAAGTTACGAGTATAAACGTCAGATACGTATGTAGTTTATAAACAGATTAGATAGATTAGACCTTATGCCGTACTATGGGTATTCTAACTTTCTATAACTAGGTCTCTCTAAAATTAGTTTTTATATCAATTGATTATCTTACGAATACTGTAGTCCCAGCTAAATAATCTAAAGAATGTAGCATTATACATCATTGACTTACTTACTTATTTTAACTTTAGTCGGATGCTTTGCCATTATATACAGATTAGTACACGAGTAACAATTCGTACTATATGTTCTTGCTTTATACATTCTTGAATTGGTTATTTTAACTTCTAGCCAGATGCTTTGCCATTGTAGTGTTTTCATTTGTATGCAGTAGCAATGTATGTAATTAATTACAGCATTTAGTGCTAAGGTAATGGCATTAATATTTTTGATTGTTAAAGCAGTGTAAATAACAGTATAATATGGGCAATAAATTCATAATATTACATTTTATAAGAAGTAATGATGCTTTCATAAATGATATATAGTGGTAGGTGCTGGCTATGACTATAAGAAGTTTAAATTTTCTATCGAACATTATCCATTACAGCAGACCAAGGTGAAAAGGTTCAGATTCCTACTGTCTACGTTGTACTAGAAGGAGGTCCAGACATCTTTACTGCAGTTGCTGAGCGACTTAAGCGCGAGGTACCAGTTATTGTAATAGAGGGAAGTGGTCGAGCATCCTCTATTATCGCGTATGCCGTTCGTTCATGTGAAGAAAGGTAAAGATTGAATTGATGACCACCACATTAAACTTTGTGTAGACTCACTTCACGTGTAGTCACGTTGAGAAGTTATAATTACTAAAAATTGAGTTATTAATAACTATTTAAAGTATAAAATGATACTAGTGTATACCCCTAATCGCATTGCGTTGAGAAGTTACGATTACTAAAATTTGCGTTGACTAATGTCTATTTAATACATAAAATGATGTTAGTACCTAACTTGAATCGCAAATTAGATATTAAATCATGCCACTGATTAGAGATTTTCTTGATTTTTGACTTTTTATTGTTAATGGGCAAAAGAAATAATGAGTACATACTCACTATGGATCAAGAAAGGCTATTAAGAAAGATGATAGGCAAGATCTTTAGATTTTTAAAGGATGATAACAGACGAATGGAAGAATTGTTGAATCAGATAAGAATTATTATAAAGCAAAAAAATTGGGTAATTAATGCTTGTATATTAGCAAATTGAGTATGGGGTATTATTCATTAGGTTAATTAGAGGTATCTAAATTATTATTTTGCTCGCTAATTGTCCGTGAAAAGCTAATACTCTATATATTGTAGTATCTATTCAGCTTTTCGACTAGAAAATATTAAAGACTATAAATAAGAATTAAGCGATTGAAATTTATTTCGGGCTATACCGTATAGATTATGATCTTGATTCGCTAATATTGACACGAAGCTGATAATAAAGCAACTCTTTGCCTTTACTGTATAAACAATACCAAATCCGGAATAGGCTGGATTAATAGGCTAGCAAGCCTTCACTTTTTGCCAAGTGACTGATAACTGTATTGCATTGATAGACTCAACTCGTTAATTTGTCTCAGAAGGAAGATATAGCCACTGCTATCGCCAACTTATGGATTAAAGGTAAGATACCAAGATCAAATTTAGTTTTCAAGCAGAAGATAGCGGTAAGCAATTTATACTGTAGTTTATTTAGTTTTTGTATAAATGAGCTTTCCGCACAAATACTTTCGATAATTTGATACAGTATGTGATTAATTAATCAAGGTGATTTATTATTTTTGATAAATAAGCTTTATGTATGACAATTAGGAATATTTTCGATAATTTAATACGATTTACAATTAATTAATCAAGATGATTTATTGTTTTGATAAATGAACTTCTGCACAGCTATTACCAATATTTTCGATAATTTAATACGGTATACAAATAATGATGATTTATTATTTTTTCGATAGACGAGCAGTCTGTATAACTTTTAGCAACATTTCCGATATTTTGTAATTAATCAGGATAATTTACTATTTATTTCAGTGAAAGAAAAAGAGTATTCGAATACTACTGAAAATAATAATTCGACTACTGCTGAAAAAAAGGATTCGATTACTGCTAAAAATCTAAAATTTGCCTTAAAATGGGGCTGCGCAAATTTAGCGAGAGACCAAATAGAGAAAATGAGCTCATATGAACTGTCGGTGAGAATATTGAATCAACGGCTCATATTTTAATAGACAGCCCATCATAGATAGCATACTCTGCGGAGCTTTTGGCCCAGACCAAATTTAATTTCTTAATATTGAAAAACTATCTGAAATTAGATTTGTGGAAGCCTATCATATTTACTACTTTTGCATTCTGTTTGGTTTTTTGAGGCTAGTCTGAAAATTGTTGGACATTGATTGAAGAATCCATCAGTAACAACCGAGTAGAATGTATAGCAGTATTGCTAGAGAAGCTTGTTAATATTGATGATTTCTTAACGATAGCGATATTAAAAAATATGTTAAATAAGGTATGGTACTTTAAGAAATTTAAATGGATAATATGTTCGTGCTAGGGTGGCATTCCTTGCTAGCTATAGCTGAGGATTATTGTTATCGATTCTATTTTTAGTAAGTTGAGATATTTTTTGTAGCTATTACTGCCAAATGGAGCGGCTCATGTAGATTACAAGAAAGCTTTCGAATTTCTGAAAATGATGAAATCGAGTCAAGATAATTATAATACATATTTGTACCCTTGGATAATTGCAGAAAAAACAGTACCAGATGGCCATAACAGAATCCATTGTGATACAGGTTAGTACGGATAAATGTTTGAAAGTACTGAAATGATGTTTGAAAAATGAATTAGATTTCTCCTATTGATGTTTAAGATTTCATTTCAGCAAGTCAATTAAAAAATAGTCTAAAGATCTATTATTAGTCCTCCTGTTGATGAGCCTTAATTAATTAGGCCACCAAGAGTAAGAAATAGCTTATAAATGTTTAGAGTAATTTGCCTTTTGCTCTTTAATCTTTATTCATTCCGACATGTCTGACTATTGATTATAGGTCAAATAAGAGCCTATAAATTATTCATATGTAAAGCAACAATGTTTTTAAAAGAATATAAGATTACATAAAATTGTGATTGAGAGATTTTTCAATCTGAGTAATTTTGTTAATATGCTTGGCAATCTTAATCAATATTGAAAGTAATTTTATCGCGCCACCTTTGCATATCGACTATGATAATGGATACTCTTTACTTGTAATAACAGATGTTTTCCATCACCTATTTGTTCTGTGTGTTTTGAGCCAACGCTTTGAAATGGCTATGAAGATATGGGAGCGTTCATCGCATCAAATAGCCACCGCTTTGGTTGGGAAAAAATTAGTTGATAGTATTATTGCGCAGATTAATTTTAAAAGGGACACATCGGAATTGCAGGAAATGTCAGGGTAGGTTGATTAAAATTGAAATAAAATGAAATTCAGATCCATCGTGATGATTAAGCTTAGTGGTGTAATTCTATCGAGTGAGTTAATATGTAATTTTGTGCATCTTTAATTATAATACTACAGAAAATTTCAAGATAAAGCTGTTGAATTACTAGAAACTTGTTATCAAAACAGACTTTCATTAACGTCTATACTTATAACTACTCCAATTCCGGCTTGGGGCGGCAATAACTGTCTAAGATTAGCAGCTTCTAGTGAAGCAACTACCTTTATTGCTCACGTCTGTTGTCAGCATTGGCTAGAGAATGAGTGGGTTGGCAATACTACAGCAAAGATAAAAGGAAGAGTAAGTTACTATTGACTACTGCTGGAGTTAGTAGTCTAGAATTAGCAAGCTTTGCATTATATCTTAGTTTGCTGTTATAAATTTAAAAATTCTATCTAGTAGAAATATTTATTGCTTGACTAGAATATGAATTATTTAAGGAACGAAGGGGATGGTGTAATAACTTAAAGTTATGTGACTACTGCGGTATCGTATTACTCTGTCATATCTAGGAGGAGGGATCATCCAAAGCAGATTTCAATTGCAATCATTTTAAAGATTCTTGTTTAAAGTCACTACATGAAATTTGGAAATTCCTAAATGTTCCTAGAAATAAATTTTTCATTAGCTGGGTAAAGAATAATTGAATAAAGCTGCTGTACTAGTTAAATAAGGACTATATATTACTAGTGTTGCCTCATGACAGAAAAGGCATCGCAGGTTGCAACTAGTTTTACATTTTTAAATAATTTCATTCTATGTATTGGATGGCAATATTTATATATTTGGTATACAATGCCTGAAATTAGCATGAATACTTTTATTTTTGGCTTTTATATAGCTATTTTATATTGGGTTCCTAGTATTGTACGCTATAATGATTTTACTACAGCAACTACAACCACAGATTTCATCATTGGAAATCGCTCTCTTAATTTGGCAATCTACGATATTCATCGAATTTTCCCTGAAGGTAAAATAATTGAAACAAATTAGTCGGTATATAATAAGTGATTTGAACTATAAATTATCGACGATTAAAGATAATAATTTAGGGCTAATTTCTTGAAATAATTTTGTGTTCTCGTTATTAGTTCCTTGGCTCCAACAAACTACGATCTAAACCACAAAAAAAAATTAAGAGGCTGTATAAATTAGAAACAATCAACATTCTTCTCTTTTGGCTCTGTTTACTTCGATTTTTTTCAAGTCTTTTTGAAGTTGCTCGAATTTTCTATTGCTTCAATTTTGCTGTATATACCGTAAGAATTTTATCAGTCTGCAATGCAAGCGTTCACTTAGGACCAAGATTACTAATACTAAAGTCTGTGGTAGGAATGAAAATCTCTTTACTGACACTAACTACTTTTCGTCACTCATTGTGTTGCATTTAAAAACAATTCTAATCATTCTCACGTGAAGGTATATCTATAAATTGTCTGATCTATCTTCTTTGATGCTCTCATAATCTAGACGAAAGAAATTGGCTTTTTTTTGTTGTTGCTAGTTATTTTCATGATCAGTTATAGTGTGGCTAACTTCGGAATACTACAGGCTTCACAAACGCCCCAGCAGACAATTTATTCTCTATTTGCTGTTCCATATTGGAACATGTTTGGAGAATTGGATATCGACAGGATCACAGGTGCCCTTCCTTTCATTTATTTACGTTATGTCAATAAAATAACTAAAAACTTCGTATGACAGTACAAAGAGAGTTGGAGAGTTGGCTTTATTATTTCTAGAGATCTCAAATGAAATCGATAAAAATAGCTATTACTGAATATCTAATTTTTAGGAATGGATCAGGGCTGTTTTTTAAGTAATAGAACTATTGGCATTGATGGTAAACCTTGTCCTCGCAATATATGGCTAGCTCTACTTATGTTGGCAATCTATATGATTATAACAAACGTTTTGCTTTTGAACTTATTAATTGCCGTGTTCAAGTAAATAATTAGTAAACTTAATAATGTTTAAAACAATCTGATTATACTTATAGATCTAATCATTTTAATCTTTAACAGTCCATAGTCTACGGTATTACAAGAGTAATTTTATTTGCTTCCTTTTCGAATTGCAGCTATAAAATCAATTGATTCGGATAATTTAAATTGCATTTTAGCAATATTTTCACAGAGGTTGATCAAAATTCTAAAGAACTTTGGAAATATCATCGATATGAGATGATTCTGAAATATAAACGCAAATCACCCTTTCCTTCTCCCTTTTCCATCATTGGTATCTTAATAAATTGTTGTCGAGGAAAATTAGGGGCAGTAGATCAAGAAGGGCGTAAGTGTAATAGATAATTGATAGTGCTGCAATTTCAATATAATCGCTAATGAAAGTTAGCAGTAGCACTAACAAAAATGTCCGATACTGAGCAACATAAGTAATCCATTCTCAGTCGAATTCGATAAAGGCTATTCTAATTCATGAATTAATAAATTAATTATTATCAAATACCAATCACTTCAGCATCCACAGCCAAGCAACGTGAACACAAGTTATTTCTAAAATTTGAAGTAAACTGCTATCGACAAATGCTAAGGAAAAATTTAGTAGCTTCTGAACTAGGCACGACTAAGGAAAATGAAAAATCTAGGTAGTATTTGAAAAGCCTATTAGCTAACCCTAATGATTCTCGTAGTGGCTATTCGAGAAATTTATTGTGTTATTCATATAGTTACCTTGTTTCTTTATCTTAGCTATGCCGATGAAATTGATGCCCAAGTAGATGTCTCAGATTCAGAAAATTCATCAGAAAGACAAGCAACAAACAGAGCAGATAATAATTCTAAAACATCAATAACGTGTGTTTAAGGAGTTGCAATGCTTTGTCTATCTCTTGATCAGGTGTCAGTCCTTAATCTTTGATTCTTTTAAATTTATTAAAAATTATTTTATGAGTTCTATGCATGATAAATCTATTATCACAACACTACATTGATAGGGGTACCTATGGACATTAATTTATACAGAATAATTTGGTATTTTTGTATAATGATGTAACAAATACACATCGTATAATTAATATTTTTTGAAAAGGAATATACACACTTCAATATGTAATTCAGAAATCGTAAATATATACCTTTAGAAATTTCATTTCTTACATTTTAGTATTTATTAATTTAATTTAAATCAATAAGATCAGCTTATCTTGATGGAGTACTTAAAATTAAAGTGAATGTCAGAGCAAACCTTAACTATAGTTCTGAACCTTCACATGAAAATCGAGGGTACATATTGATAGCTCTGGACTGATTTCTATAATCTGATAGATCACTTAAAAGGTATATTTCAAAAATTTTATTGGATTTAAGGAATCATTTGGTAGCTAGAACTCTGATGTACTTATGATATTTTAGATTAAATTGTTACAGTAATGCCCTATGAGACTTGAAAAAGAAATGTTGATATCAATAAATTGCCATAGTTGATTATCTTCTAAGCTGCATGCAATATAGATTATAAACGCAAGCTTTTATTATTAGTTTTTAAATTCAGTAGCATAAGTCCAACAGTCTACATGTTGAGTTCATGATGGCTACAGTTGTTGCTTTTGTAAAAGCCAGCAATACCTACAGGTATGCAATCGAATTGGTACACTGTGATAGTGAATTTCTATTTCAAATTACATTTATTCAGAATTAAATCACTGACTTAATCCAAAATCTGCTATTGACCCTTCATACATATTTGATGGATGACCGAGTATACGCACTGTACATTAATGTTGAGCATTCTATTAAAGGTATTTATCCAATCAGGTAGGTTATCTACCAATATAGATACCGAAAAGCGTGAATTTTTAGTAAATTATTCCAAATTTAGATGATGAAAAGCCTTCAAATAAGAGTAAAAATACCCATACATATCAGTACATAAACAGTAAATGCCTCCATAGAAATATCAAAATTGGCAAAGCCTGATTTGATCTAGTGTCTGGATATCAGTTTTCAGCAAAATAGAGCAATTTTAATGACCCGCTAAAACTATAATTTTAGCACATAGTACCTTTATACTTTTAAAATCCTTCAGTATAAATATAATATGCATACTTATTACAGTGCAGTGAACATGGAAAAATTTTATAGATATCCTAGAATATAATCTCCGCAAATAATAAATCATATTATGATCACTTGTTATCCTGGTTTAAGCATTTGACAAACTCTACCAATCTACTCTGTATGTGCTTGACTTTTTCTGTAAGATAAAAAAAATACAGTTACATCAGGATAGACCCTAATTTACAGTACAAGCATTTCAGAAAATATATACGGTTAAGGTAAAAGGAGGTCTTACTTAGTTTTTCAGCTAGAATAACTTGATCTCCAGTAAGAAGTTTCTTTTTACAGCTATCATCATCCTCTATTTCGTCAAGCGCTTGCTTCGCTTCTTCTTCTAGTCTTCCAAATTCATGGTTTACTACTTGTTGCCGTAAAAATCTGCTGCTACTGTTCAGCATTGATTGCATTCTCCAAAATAATACTACGGCATCGCATTGCAACTATAATTTTTAGAGTACATGTAGAGAATATTATTATTGTTAGGCATTGTTTCGCATACCTTCCCATTTATGTCTTACCTCATCATTTCCTAACTTCCGGTGAAAAAATGCACCTTTGCATTCTTGGGCTTCCGCTATAGCCATCTGCAAAAAATGCTTTCGATACTGCAAGCGCCATATCTCTTCAATCTTAATCATAATAGAAAGATATACTAATGAATCGAAAATGACAGTTGCTATACGATTACAAATATTTACCAGTTCTTCCGAAACCGTATGTCCTTGCGTTTCTAGGTTTCTTTTTACCATTATTACTTCATCGAAATCTAAGTGTGACTTATGACTCTATTAAACAATATATTTAGCGCATTAACCTAACAATTTCTTGAATATATGGCTTATAACTAATAAAGGAAAGAAAAGGCTACCTTTCGACTTTGTAGCAATTTTTGAAATTCTAATCCTGCTGCTTGTCGTAACAGCTACAAATACGATCGCAAGGCTAAATTAGCTAAGAGTTATCGTTTTATTGCTCTAAAACAGCTGATAATGCAAGAAAAATATACTGTACTAATCTCAATGACTAGTAAATATACCTGCTCAGGTGTGGTTGATCTCCATGACATCCACCTTTCAGTGAAGTTAGGGCCTGTTAGTTGGTTCCACTCATTAATTGCTTGCTTAAGTTTATCGTTTAAAGTTTCTTCCAAGAATTTAGCTGCAGATTCCCATTGTTGTTTGTCAGGAACTGATAAATCTTCCAGTGCATTTGACTGGATGACATGCTGCGAAGCAATAATGCGACCAATTACACATTGTGATGGTTCAATGAAATATAACGCTAAAACTAACTCACCATTTTTTCAATATTATTGTTTGAGATGGTATGATTTCTGTTACAAATATTAATAACAGCTTCTTTCAGATCATCAAATAGCTTGTTATCTACGCTAGACATTCCAGCACTTCGGGAGACAGCAACGTTCTAATGCCCAAGTCAAGTATAGCCAGGCGATATCTTAAAATTTTTATAGCAGGAAATCAATTACATAGTTAAGAGGTACTAATACCTTTCGCAAAGCAGCTGCAAATTCATCCAGTAACGTTTCCCATCCAATCTGTGTACATCCGGCATGGTAGAAACTTACATCAGATACATAGTAGAATATCAAATTTTAAATTAGAATAGTGCAACATACCGTAACACAGTTGCCGGATAAGTGGGACTTTGACCATTCTTTTAACTTGATATCGGCATAGGTATTAAATTTACTAAAATGAACTGATTATTAGTTTCCTTGCATTTATAAGATTACGTGGGATATGCTGTACAATAGGAGCACATTCATACCTAGATGACTCCGTTTGTGCAGCTGGAATATAAATATTTTCTACAAAATGTTCTGAAATGCTGAGCCATAGTTTATCCTTGAGTTTCGTCTCCCTATAAATATTTATGATAGATACATAAGCAATGATATAAAATAATTACAAATAAGTGACTTTCCAACACATACCATTCCATCGGTTGCAGTTGACTTAAAGTTAAGACCGTATCTAATATTTCAGCTTTACCTCGATCGAATAATTCATTCTATAACAAAATTATAGTATCGAAATATTTTACTCCTAATACGTATATAAGCAAGGGCCTACTATTATTTGCAAAACAAACCCTATCAAGCTCTCTCCTTCCAGGAAATCTATTTTTCCATTCAGTTTCTAAGTTGAATCGGATAGCTAGTCGAAATTGACATATGAAAATTGAATATTAGACGTTAGAGCAGTTAATACGTATAAAACAGAAGTGCATAAAAATAGTGAAACATTGGAAGTATTTCATGTAGACAAACCTTGGTAACTATCAGATTGTTGTTCTACTGATTCCTTCACCATTTTCCAAAAGCACTCAGAAACTGCACGGCTAAGATTTTGAGTATTCATTTGTGTAGCCTTGATAACGTTACTTCTGTATCATCATAGCAAATATACATGAGTAACAAATCACAAGATGCCAGTTTATAGTTTACAGTACTATAATAATTGAGTTACTCATGCAAGATATAACGAACCTAAATAGTTTAGAATTTCTGAAGTATTCTTCTTCATGTTGTCTAATAGTCTCAATGCTGTCTTCGGTGTTACCTTTAAATTTTTCAATAAGGAGTCAACGATTTACAAGACAGAAATGCACATCATTTTGTGATACTAACCTCTACCGGTAACAACAGCAAAATAACCTAGAGCCTTCATTGGAAATAGTCGTCCTTCCAAAGTTTTCTTTATCTGATCAACAAGAACGGAACAATTTTTAGAGTATCCGTGTAAAATAAATAAATATAATACAGCGCCAGCTTTGATTGCTTAATAACATACTCTATCTGGGTTAGCTAGCGATTTCTCTGCCAGATCAGCTTTAGTAAGAACAAAAATGGTCCTCTTTCCTAAAGTCAGACAGAAGACGCTATATAAGGATAAAAACTGATTCTATTGAAATTTAGACAATTCGACTTGCCATACCTTGCTTATCAACGGAGTTGACAAGGTCGGTAACTATACTTCGTTCAGCATCTACGGAACCATCTAAAAACGCATATAATGTATAAGGAAAATATAAATTCTTCTTAACGGCTACTATGCTAGCTATTACCGGCAGTAACTCTTTAATTGTTATACAACTACTCATTTTTGTTACCTTGAATACATAAAATGATGGAATTTGGATTTTTCATGTATTTTCTAAGCAACAGCATACAATTTAATGCTTAATTACAAATTTAGTAACAATATTCAAAATAAAAATAAAAACAACGAACTTGCTCATTTCAATAATGTCTTCTCTGGTACTTGTAGCCATTCCAGCTGTTACCGTCTGTAGTAAGGTGATCATAAGAAATGCCAAGTCATTAATAGATCGAAATAATTTTTGTTAATTAGCACAAACAAATGATTACACTAATTATTCCGGGCAGGTCTACGAGAACCATTCTCTGTAATCCAGGTCCTTTAACACTCATTGAAATAGTCTATAGTTGTAAGTACCCAATATATGCGAATTAATTGTAAGTTATTAGCTAGTGCAAGTGAGGTATCGACATTACCGATCTAGATACTAGCATCTACAATAATATACGCATAAATAGTACTTACTTCATGGCTAACTGTCTGCCCATTTTGAACGCTGGCTTTCATCCTTCTTTCAACTTCTTGTCTAAGGGCGTTCAACTATAGGTAATCCATCATAACGGATAGTGTTTTATAGTTAAATTTGGTTAGAATAAAGTGATAATACAGTATTGGCGTGGTATATACCTCAGGCTCCTGATTTAAGTCATACTCTCGGTCGTTGTTTTTAAATTGTGCAATATGGCGCGGACCTTCAGATAAAGTTACCATAACAGGAGATCTTGTCATCATTTCACCAGAGCCTCTGGGAAATATTCTTGCTCTTGCAATCATTTCTAGGACACTGGTCTTACCAGCACTTTGATCACCGACAACGACAACCTGAAATATATATTTCGAAATTAATACAGGGAATGTGGTTATGGAGAAATTCATCAAAAAGGAATTGGAAAACTAAAACGTAAACAAATTTTGGGTGATTATACGTGTATTACATATAACTAGCTAGTGGTAGAGGAAACTAATATACCCGGGGTAAGCTATCCTGGGTATCATAATTGGCGTCGTAGTCAGCCAATAAATCCAATACATCTGAATACATGTCAATCAGAGATTTCTTGATATATTTAGCTTTTTCACTTTTTCCCATCTTCAATATTTGCTGTCGTAAGTCTCTATTAGTCTTTTCAAGCCTAAAAGGAGCATTGAATGTCAGGAAATAGTATATTATTGTTGGATGCATACCTACATAAACTTTTCTACATCTATATGCGTAATTTATCTATTTCATATACGCATAAACACATAATTACATTAAAATTTGCTAACAATTTCTGCCAATGGAGAACTAAAATAACCATATTTATCATTCTTTTACACAGTATTTTCTATTCTTACTTGTCAATTTCATGTTGTAAGCGTTGTTGAATTTCTACTAATTCACGTTCGGCCTTATCAGCCCTTTCTTTTAGGCTTTCTTTATCCGCTGCATCTTCACTCATAAAACTGTTCTTAGGTACTGTATGGTCTTCATTGGAATTATTATTATTATCTTTGTTAAATACATCTGAAAAGATCATTTTTAAAGTAAGCCTTTTGAAGGAAACAGCAATCGATATCAAGATCAGATCCACATCGTCAATTCTTATTTAAATTTACTCTCAAGAAAGGACTTGCTGGCTTGGGTTTTGTCGCTATCGGCGGATTCTATCAATAATGCAAGAGCTGATTAGTTCATAACAGTAACAATTTAATTTTCTGGATATAGTGTAGCCTTATTTACTACTGAAATGATGTACATATCTATCTTGACGATAAGTAGATCAAATGAGTACGCTAATGGCCATAAACACTTATATACGAGTAATAATAACATTTTTGACTCTTCTAAGTAATCAATCATCACTGTAGTAGTTACAAGTTCGATTGGAATTTAAAACTACCATAAAACTTACGTAGCATTTGAGATAGTGTAGTTTTAATTCGAGCCAACGAATCGCTTAAGCCATTGGCCCAGGTTAAGTCAGGTAAAGAGCTTTTTAATGCGTCATATTTCTGTAGTGAATTAAATGGTTTGAAGAATAGTATTTTGATTAGTTAATTCGAGATACGAAACAGTAATTACTATTTCTGTTGCAACCAATGAAGAAGTTAATAACGGTATTTTCATCAACTCATTTAAAGTATGAGCTAGCTATCATATTAGTACCATTACCAACGAAATTGTTTAAACTATTTAAGCAGATTAAATCGGGTCAAGAGCTATTAAAAGAGTTTATAAACTAGTCTTATTTCTACAATAGATTGAATAGTTGTTAGGCAAGGTACGAGTATTGCTATTATTTCTTTTGGAGTGTGAGTTAACCATTTTAACTAGGCATTAACAACGTGTTATCCGAAAAACTGAGTTAATTATATGATCAATCGATACACTGTCAGTTGCATCCATTTACCACTTTGACATAAACTCCAATACCAACAGCGGAACCAAGAATAATATATCGTGGTTTGACCAGCCATAGAAAGGGAAAGGAAGTGGTTCCTTTGGTAGTCTTTTGGCTACAATATCGCCTTAACCATTGTCGTTGTCGACCATTACAAGGTCTGTGGTTATTGAGTACAGGAGTAGCGATGGATCTCGATCGCACCCTAGATAGAATATGGATCCAATTTCAAAATTACTCTACTATTACAATAAACGACGAACATTGTGTATAGCGAGTAACTTATTTCAAAGATTTATCAAGTTGACTACGGTCAAAAGTAATTATGGAGCATGATGCAATGGCTAAGCATATTGAATTTAATCGTCGACGCTACAAGGCGTAGTAGTGCTACGATGGTACCTATTATCGTTATAATTGAAGTCCTTTTTGTAAAATTTTAGTCTCTTTTACCGTCGTTAAAAGTAATGTATCATTTATGAAAGATATTTTATGAAGAATTGGATCAATATCAAAACGTTCAATCAAAGTATAGTGGCATAGACTAAATTATAGAGGCATATTCTCGATGCATGGGAAATTTGCAATGACATCATCAACAGTACAAGTATCTGGCCTATCGACTCGATATCTTATTGCATAACGCCTAACAGACATTATCTTAAGATCAGTACTCTACCTGCAGGTATAGGTGCATAATCTATACATTCGATTGGATCGATGTCACCAATTGAGCAGTGAATGATCAAGTTGTAAAAGCAAGAAAGAATAAGGTCAGTGCCTTCCCTGAAAGCACCAAGATGGAGGTCGTTAACCGAAAAGTCTCCAGTTTATCTAACAGTCAAGTCGAAGAGTTGTTATGGTGCAGTACAGTGTACAGTACAAAGTGAACCAAAGTGTACTGTACTGTACTGTACGTACTGTACGGAATACACGGACTGCACTGTACGGACTATACGGACTGTACTGTACAGTACAAACCGCGTGGACAGTACGGACTACAGTACTGTATACTGTACAGTACTGTACCGTGCCGTACTGTACTGTACTGTACAGTACAGTGCCTTCCAAAATACTGTACTGTACAGTGTACACTGTACACTGTAAATCTACAGCTGGACGGGACGGGAATTCCCTACCCATGGTACTTTACAGGTACGGTACGGCATAGTATATGGCTAATATTGGTCAGTAGACCAGCCATCGACAGGCCATGGATTTCTAGAAGTAGCTAGAAGTCCATCGCTGAGTGGAAACCTTGTCAAAATATCGTCAGGCCATCATTTAAAACTTGCGATATTAATTTGTTCATTCTGTGTTTACCTGACTTTAAAACTAGCAAATAAACGATGCTGTACGTCCTAATGTCCCTAAAATACTTTTATTGTAAAAATCGATAGTGAATGATTAACGTCAGCCCCGGAGGATTGCCAGTTGCAAATGAAACCACTGAAACCAATTTTCCTCTTCTTGTCATATTAAATGACTATACTATGATGTCATTGCCCATAAGTAGCGAAAGCCTTTACCCTACCTCTAAGCTTAAGCACTTAACCAGGCTTCAAAAGTACGAGTTGTCTATCACTTTTAAAATTGTCTTGTGTCATGCACAGGCGGGATAAGATATTTTTCTCAAGTACTACATCGATCTGATGCACTTTACTTTAGGTACAAGATATTTTGCATAGATTAGCCTCACTGGATGGTATAAGACATTTTTTCCATCAAAATGGATGTGTGTATATTACATATTACAGCATTCTCTTTTAGCAACAAGACAAAAAAAGAAGTCAAAAGTAAAGTGTCTACTTGCTAGTAACATTCTGATGAGTGCTTTTGTAGTTTAGTTATCTCACTGTTGAGTTACTACGGTATATACGGGTGGGTTGATTATATTATACTGCACACTCTGTACTATATTAATAGTACTGTATAGTATAAAAATATCTTATAATAGATCAGTTACTGATATTCTTCAACCAATGGATAGTGTAAAAATATCAGAATCATTCATTTTAGAAATAATTAACCAATAGACCATTTATTGATTCATTAACATTTTACACAGGATTATTATGATAGGCTTATTCAATATGTAAACGTTCTAGTGGTAGGTGAGTTATGATCGCCTATGCGGTATCGTTATAGATTTGCAGTTATAAGTTATTCTTACTACGCATATATTATATTTTCATCAGTGTATCCGAATGGCATTATTAAGAGCATTTATGAGCTACCAGCCGGTCACAGATGAAAATGAAGTTTAATCATGAAAATTAAAGATCCTATCTACCAAATGGACTGCAACCTATGCATGAGTATATTCGACAATTACCTCGTATGATCATGACTTTGACTTGCATGAATAAGCTACCGAACAGCTATGCGCAGTGAAAGCAAGCCAGTTAATTTGTTCTTAGCTTTGGAGATAGATAAAGATTTTAAGTACTTCAATCAAGATACTGCATATCCGTTCAACTCTGTAGTATGGTAACATGAAATCAAAGCCATTTGTTCTTTCGATTACAATTGCTCAGACTAATCAATCCATCTAAATAACATGAAGACCGATGATAATCTAAACGTATATGGTGCTATAGATAGGTTACTAGGCACATACGCTTAATAACGATTAGCTTATTTTTCCTGCTCAATTTCAGTATCTAGTTTACTATTTATATATAATTAGTAATGCATATATATATATGTACAAATACTAATTGGTTTAACTGCTACAAATAAGGAGACCGATAGCAAACTAAATAAACGTGTATATAGTATTGATGATTTCTTCGTTAGTACGGTGACTTATTAAATTTACTATACATTACTGCGATTTGCAAATAAAGGCAAATCTGAAACATTATGGCAGCGTCCTTAACTTCTTTCGACTTCGTGAGAAAATAATGCTTTTTGAATATATTCTTCTGGACAATAAGGTAACGCCACAGCATTTTGTACCTTCCGTAAAGTTGATAAATAGTTATGATATTGTAGATATTTTTGAAGAAATATGCCGTAAAATTTGAGCTCTGAAATACTTTGAATTGTACGGGTATGTGAATAGGGTAATTTTTATATATACTGTATATATATGTTGCTTTGTAAATAAAGTGTGCGGTACACAAGCGGGAACGAAAATCTATAATAATTGTATGCCGATTCAATAACTAAAGGGATAGATATTGAAATCACTAACAGTCCACTAGCTAGCGTTTATGCATAATTCTATCAAAATATTCAACCATTTGGAATTCACTAATTCTAGAAAGTACAGCTATTCTTTATCTGGTATCCATTATAAGTTCCCTATTGGCTGGATCGTTGTATTGATAGAGTAACTTTTATTTACGGTATTTTACAATAATCAAGTGTTAATGTATGCTTATAAATTTGTTAACCGAATCTGTTATGAGAGATAATCATTCCCTAGATGCTTTATTGATTTAATATTGCAGAGTATAGTACTTACCGTTATGTCAGTTGACATTGTGCTTTTTATGGCGGTAGCTGTTTAAAATGACGGGAATAAAATTATGATGCAATAAAGGTTTTAATTTGGCTATATGATGAATAGTATTTATAAGCTTCCGGTATGATATTACAAATACTTCAAATTTGGTAGTGATTTAGATAATATATTGATTGAGAATGGTAAAGAAGTCTTTGCTATACCTCTAGATTGGTTGGCAATACGAATGTCATCATTATCGCTTGATTTTAGAATAGATGAAGGGTTTGTCTTTCGTTTCTGCGGCGAAAGTAAAGTTTTATTGATTGAGAAGTGATGTATGAAATATAAAAAATTAATTATGAATTAATTTATCATATGTTATTTAATTTCAACGCAACGAGCTAGGAAAAAAATTACTCCGCCGCAATTTCATTACTAATTAACAAATTGATCAACCTTTCTGCTGTTAGCTTTCCATACTGAGCTATTCAAATGACTGTTTGTTGCATTTTTTTGCCGAAAGCTCTTCAATTTAGCTCGAACCTGATATATATGTAAACTGCAGTTAGAATATTATAGCTCAAGGTATAAATTTTATCGATAGTTAAAAAAAATTCAAATTTTTCGTTAAGCGGTTTACTTCTCCGTTAAAAACACAGTGAAAGAGGAAAATGAATAAACCCTATCATTAAAAGAGTGATAATATGAAAGGTGATTAATATACAGCTTAGCAATTGATTAAGTATTTGTAGCAATAGCACGCTAATTTAAACTTCTAGGTTGAATTTTTAGTTAAAAACGTTACACACCTGAAGAGAATTAAAAATTACAAAGAGATAGGAAAAAGCAATGGTATCCTCATCAAAGGACAATACTCCAAACACCCAAGTTAACCCTAGTAGTGGCAGCAGAATTACGCTAGCTTTCGTAGAAGACCTAAAAAAGTATCTATTAAAAAAATTAATCCTTTCTTAGCAGATAAATTGATACTAAGACAAGGGTACCGACCATATGTTGGTTATTTCCAATCTACCGGCGTCTGTTGCGTTCCCAGTTACTTTAGCTGTTGCTGAATGTAAGACAATCCTGACCACCATAAGTAATATAATGGTATTAAACTACACCAGCAGTGGATCAGATAAGATTGACGATAGATCAGTAAATTTTTTAATGCACGATAGCAACATAAATGTTAGTCTTCTTGTTTAGCAGTTTTTTATCAATTCGCTGATAACCTACCGAGATGATGAAAATTGCTGGTCCTATAAATGCCCATATAAGCCCACTAGTAATAGACAGCCAACACCTGAGAAACATTAATAACAGTAAAAGTAAGGTTAGGGGCGTTACCGCTGGATTTGATAAAATAAATATTGAACGCACTATAGAATGAAAATGAAGTAAAGATTCGCCGTACTTTGGTATCTTACAAATAATATATCACATCATTGCCTTACGAGTTTACTCCATAGTCTTGAAATTTAACTGCTACGGAGACACCGACAACTATTAATGGCAAGCCTATTTATAAAGAATAAGTTTAATTTGAATCTTAGAAAATATGCAGTTCAAGTCATCACCATATAATTAAAGTTGAACGGTATAAATGACTACAAGTTCGAAGAAAATATAAAATACTTCATTGTTTGTTATGAATTACCGTACCAATGATCACTCTATGGTTCTTTATGCTAGCTACTTACCCCAACCGATACCATAATATATCGCAGTCATACTCTTTCCAGCATTAAAAACACGAATAATCATAAAGTACAGATTGATCCCTTCTACTAACATCCAGGAAAATGCAGCCAAATAGAGATAGTGCAAGCTGATAGCAAAGATTTTACACCTTATACTGTCCTATTAAGTGTCAATAATTAAAAGATAATTTAAATGTTAAAAGATATATGAAATGTTTCCATGAATATGACATTAGTAGACTGCCATATCGAAGGTACAAGTACTACAAAAAAATCTGATGGAATATAGTAGGTTTAACAATAAAATCATTTTAGATGGTTACAATGTCACAAAATTAATATTTAAATAACGCTTAACATCATGCTAAGACTACTCACTGCGGCATCGTAATCGGACTGCATACTAGCAATATGAATGATTTGAGCAAGTGCTAAAGCAGCGATTAGATTTTTATGTATTTCAAATCGTTCTGATCTTAATGCTCTGTAATAATAGTTAAAATGGAATTAGTTTTGATTGTAGAATAATGCTATACATTAATTATCAAATATTTAACGATAAAAAATTGAGATTTATAATCTATAAGGGACACATTCAATAGGAGGTAGCTCAATAGCTATAAATCTCAACTATTGACTATCGCTAAAATATTCTTACCTAAATATTGTAAACAAAGTAAATGCAATCACCATTGCTACCAATGATATACCAAATCCAATGTAAGTTAAAATACTTAAAATTTGTTGATGCTTATCACTTATCTACACAATTCGGTGGAACAGTTATATCGTAAGACGCACAGTATAGCTTCACAATCTTTTAAATAACTAAATGTAAATACGTTTCATGATTCACATCTAATTCTATTTATTTTATACCGTAGCATTTGTAACTCGCATCATTATCGCGAAATGGGTCAAATGATTACATCGGCAGCTGGTATATGAGTAACGCGATCGGATTACTTGACAGCCATTGCTTAACCAGCGCCTATAAATAAACATTTAGCATGTATTTATTTAATAAACTCAATTTCATATGTAACGGATATAATAAATAAAAAAAAATGTAGAGATGGATGTTATAGTTATTTACTGACTTAGAAGTGAAGTTCCAGTAGACACATTCTACATTAGATAGTTCTTCTTTTTGCTAGATGTTGTGATCGCAATATTGAAATATTGAATTATTACTTTAGCGCATCGAGATTCATATTACCAGAACATTGTTTGCATATAATGGCAGTACTACGAAAATAAGGCTATCGTATATAGAATTACGCGGTGTTTTATGAAGATCTAACTATTACGATTCTTAACACTATATCAATTGACTCTATAGTATCTGGCATGAATCAATTACAACGGTTTTAAATGAGTTGGTCAAAATAATAATCCAACCATCTTATGTCCTAAGGAAAATTGATAATCAATGGATAAATTGGTTTCAGCTGTTGCAATCGCGCACGATAGAATATGCGTATTAACGGAAATATCGGCGTTAGTTTTAATATCTTCCGTTAATCTATGGCAACATTGAATATAAGAAAGAATGAATTTCGTTAGTTTATCACCGGTTAGTAAAAGTTGTATGTTAATATTTATTCTACTATAACCGTTATAGTTTGGTGTAGTACATCAATTCTTACCCAATTTCTTTATATAAAACCTTGACAATTGGTATAAGTTGTCGCTGAAGTTGGTTAGTTGGATCGCCAACTTGCATCCAATCATAGCTGCGATATCCGAGATTTAACTTTGTATTGTAAACTACTTCTTTTTCGTTAGGGACTTTTATTTCCAATTCTATTTCATTTAAAAAATCAGTCAGTTAGCCGTGTAACAGCTTTCTAAAGCTATATCGTTTACGCCGGATTTATATTGAATGAAGCAAGTTATTTTGAATTTTATTACTATAAACCAAAATACGACATTTTAACAAGATCATTCTGCCTGATCTACAATGTTATATCTATATCTTGGAATAATTTGCATCTATTTATTAGATTACCGATCTAATAGGCTATATCTTATATATAGAGAAGATGATGATAATAATAACTTCGATCTCGTTAAAACTTTTCGGTAAATGAGCTAATTCAATCAACACATATGTTACTAGAAATTTATATTGAATATAGTCATCAATTTTGATTATATATGTTTGTAAATAGCTTACCGATATTCTTTGTGACGACATTAATGGTATGAGATAAACCTGCTTGACCAATTTTTAATGCAAAATTTTCCATCCCACCAATCATATCTACAATATGACTTGAATCCTGTGACGTATAGAAAATTAAGTTATTAATAGTCGTTAACAGCTGGTTATCTAGTAAAATTCGGTCAAATCGATGTCCGATTAAGTAACTGTTAAATGAATAAAAAGTAATTGTTTTTAAAGATAATGTCCTTTGATTTATAGTATTATTTCCCCCTGCTGGTATAGGGCTTGTTAAGCTCACTTGATAACTATCAGCTTCCCATTCTTCTGCATTTAGGGGATCCAATAGGATATTTGCTGCATTTATCATAGACTGAAAAGAAATAATTACAGTATCAGTAAAAACAGAGAAACCCATTCGCATTGATTACTTCAGTATCGCTCTGAGAGTATCTACTGAGATTTGAAATATGTGGGCTTCGTGTTTGAAAAAAACACTGAGTAATAGCTGTGCATAATGATACATATATTCCTACTTATAAAATCATTACATCTTGCAGCATGCTATAGTCTAAGCACTTGTAAGCATTTATCTCTATCTAGGTATTCAAAGTAAATCATGATATTCCTCAGAAGGGTATGTCTAGTATTGAAGACATTTAGATGCATGACCAGAATTGAATCGCCACTACATATTGTAGTGCTTGTGTATTATGAAATTATAGCTATGGCAGAATAAATATCAATATAACCTACGATTATATTCTTTCAATGAACTAGCTTGCTTAGTATTTTACTGTTTTGATGTTATACTATGGTTAAAGTAAGAGAAATATTATCCATACGTTGGTTTGTAAATTAAGATATTCTTTAGAAGATAAAAAATTTTGTATAATTAATGGTCATAATCTACATCAGTAATTAATCTAGCTACAAGAGTACTGTGAGAATGAAATAGTCAAAATTATTCTTCGAAACTGGTTGGACTTTTTTTATCTAACTATATGCTTCTAGATTTGAAGGTGTTAAAATCGTATATTTTGCCCTAATTTTATCTTTCGACCTCTATATTGTATTACCTCTATCATGTTCTCATTTTCTAGTTCTGAGCTCAAATAAGCGTCATAATTATTTGCAATAAAAAAGAAATTAGATGCATAGTTTTTCAATGCAGCTGAATTCAACGATATATTGCTTGTTGTATTTTTCTGAAGTAAAGTATTCAATGCATGGACTTGATTTTTTATGGTCTTCGGCGTTGGTGTTTTCGGAGTAGGTTCGTTTGTTTTCTGCTATGGATAGAACGAATAGGACACTTGATTAAATAATGTTAAATCTACGCATATCATAATCAATTTCTGATTATGTTAAGAACATCACGCGTATATCATGTTGGTAGCATATTCAGTAAAATGAGCTGAGATAACAATTCTTAACAGTCTCCATGAACATATTCTTGTAAAATCAGCTTACGTCATAATAGGAATGATAAACCGTAGATTTTTTTACTGGAGATGCAGTAATTATATGTTCTGTTTCATTACCTGGAGGAAAAGAAGAAATAAAATTGGTAGTTTTACTTTAATCCTGATATGGAAATTGATATTACCATTCGATATTTTAATTTTATGACTATTATTGTCATATAATTAGTTAATAAAGTAGGCCTTACGTTATGAATATTTGTGAAGTATCTAAATATCTTCTACACTAAGAGTAATCTTATATCGGAATAATAACTGAACTGCAGACCTTAAATCTTTTGTAACTGTTAAACTACTCTATAATAGGCTGGATATAGAACTTACTTGTTGGAGATGAAGGATTATAAGTAAATTTCCATGTATTGGACGATTTATTAGAATTCACTGTATAGTCTGTGATTGTTTCTGATAAGAAATTAAAATCATTTTAGGTGACCTGATGATATTTATTGACGTGTTAAAAAATGCGACTCTCTAGTACAAATATTACTATATACCCTACTGAAATATCAATACACCCTTATTAAAAGATTCAAGGTGAATATAAGTTGCTTATAATTCAATTACCTTCACTGGTCACGAAATATGTGATATCAGCACTATTTGAGAAGAGATCGAAATTACTCGATGGAAATGAATCCTCTATCAAAGAAAATAAAATTTATATGTTAAAAATGCCTACTATGGTAAATGAATTCTTTAGTTATGTAGATTCGAAATTCTGCTTTCGAGCCAGCAGGTTAAAAATGTTAATAGCTACATCTTACCATCACTATAAAAAAAGTCCTCCAAAATGTCATTTCCAATTGACTTTGATGATTGCATAAAATTATCAGTGAATAATGCAACGGTTTGCAATGGGAATTGCTCATTTAACATAGTCTTAGAGGAATAAATTGATAAGCTAAGAGAACTTTCTCGTGATTGGGATATAGTGTTATGTAAGTTTTCAAACAATGATATAATTGAATGATTCAATTGCTGGATAGGCAGCGCTGTCAATAATTGAAGAGAACTATCAATAATAGATGTCATAGTAATTTCAGATATTCCTTTAGAGGCCAAATCAGCTGATAAGCTATCAGATGATGATTTCGATGAAGTATTTATTTCTGTTTAATTAGAGTAAGGATTCGTATTAAAACATTTTAATATCAACATTATTATTATTACACAATACAATATTAAATAGCATATATATATATAATTGATTGGGAAGAGGCTTTTATATAATAATATCGAATAGCTAAGTATTTTGGAATATCAGAATTATGTCATTAAAATGGAACGATCGAGGGCACATTTAAAAAAGAAAGTATGACAGTTAGTTTTTAATATATTAATTGGTTAATTAATGAATATATGTATAACAAATATATGACGTGATGTCGAAGTACTGCGGTAAAGACTCAGGTAAGAAGTAATACTTCTGTAATCTTTACAAGTTACGTTTATTAACTTCTATCCAAATAGAATTAGAATTACTCTGAGCAATGTAAGAGGTTATATACCTCTAATATTCTCCATAATAGATACCTCAAGAACTTCGCTACTTAGAGTGTATCTCCTGACACTAGAATCTTTGAATGACTGATTGCACGATATGCACAGTTATAAGTATTTAGTCTTTCGGCTACTGGTTGGTTACACAGGACATAACAGGACTGGACATAGTTCTCTTATGATAAAAAGTACCAATACAGTTATCCTATCTTATGTTATACGGTAGGATGATATCCGTGCGTATTCGTAAAAGTACTAATTTAGAGGATACAACATATACAGTACAGTATATAATACCAAATTACAACAATAGTACCTTTTTGGCAGAGAAATCGATGGAATAGAACGCAATCATAGTCGTACCACAAGTAATTCAGATCAGAACGTTTTAAAGCTACGCAACGATCGTTTAAAGTGTCTGGTTGACCTGATGCCCAGTAGTTGTTATTGTACGAAATATAATGATACGGAGGTACTTTCCATCTATAATCAAGTAAATTATTAATTCCTCTAGTATCGGTCAACCCTATCCAGATTGGGACAGTATAAAATGTTGCGGCTATGCTTAAATATTTTGTTAAATTTTGATGAAAATTCGCTGGAGAATCCATAACTAAATGCCCATTAAGCGATTGGCATTGCTGGTCAGCTGAGGCGAACTTGGCTTCAGAATTCGATAACCAAACACACCGGTCTTCTATTTGAACCCAGGGCGTATCGCAGGTTGAAGAAATATCTTTAATGTATACCATAAGATATTGAATCAGATATGAGAGAGAAAGACTTTGATAGCAAGAACTAAGTGTCATAATCAAGGATTAATAAAGAGATGGCTGCACGAAATAACATGTAAAGACTATTAATAATCGTACGTATTAGTTATATGTACAGTATATGAAAATGTTGTCATAGATAAGTACAATATATATTCCCGGATATTTTGCTATTAGTAATTAGTTCCATCGCATTTAGTAATCGCATACGAAGTCCACTGAATAGTATGTCGTATATTTGAAACTGATGGGCCTGAAGAGGACGGAATTATGTGCTTTATTAATTAACCCTATTATATTTATGAGTTCAGTTGCATTTAGAAATAGTACATGAAGTCCATGAAATAGTATATCGTATATTTGAAATTGGTAGGCCTTCAGAATACGGAACTGTATGTATTCTAATTCTAGCATTGTATGCTAGTAATAGTAAGTTCCAAGCGTATTAAAACTATCAGACTACATAGGATATTTACAAATATACTCATAGAACTTCAAGTACATAGAACTAGTAAACTATATTTTATATTAGTATTGATAAACTCTATTACATTTATGAAAAGAAAATGAATATATAGGATCTTAGACTGCATATGAAATTGACATTCTAGAAAGTTCAGTGCGTTTACTCATACAACTTTCTATTTACGCGCTCGTGCGATTGATATATTATCAAAAAATTGACGTATTTCTCCGATATAATTAATTGATTAATTAATTAATATATATAAATTTTCAATTTCAATTACTGTTCTATTGCTAAATTTATTACAATTACGATTAATTAGACGTTTAATAAATTCCTTTAATCAGTGCTTATAACTTGGCCTCCACTGAATTTTCAAATACCTCGGGCTCCACTTTCAGAGCTTGCACCAGCTTCGTTCTCAGAGCCCCCTATAGATACGCTTCCAGACATTGCCATTCCAAAGTAGATCTACAGAAGAATTAACAAATTTTACATAAACTGGAATTTCATAAGGAATAAAGTCTGTTAAATTCATACCAAATGCCTATATTTTCGAAAATTGTATTGATATCCTTAATAATATGTTTCAAATGATGATTGCAATCAGAAATATGTAAGCTGTTTCAATCGTAAGATACGGTAACTAATATGACAGCTGAGACATTTTATGATAAGAAACAGATAGATTTGCTTAAGCAGTGAAAAACTATATCAGTAACCCTTCTCTTATGAATATCATTGTATATATAACTATAGATGATAAAAAGTTAAGATTGCGATCGTTGAAATACTGAACGATATAGCATGCACCATCAGTGTCAGTAAATTAATATTAATATTGTAGTTAAAAATTTTATAATGGAAGACTTATATGCATACTGCATCTTATCCGAGACCCAAAATATTACTAACGGTAAAATTATGAAGCCTAATTGTTAATATCTTTAAATAAATTTTGATAAACTAAGTCTAAACGGTAAGAAGCTATCTCAAATTAAATTATAGGATACTTGCTCATAGTACATAGCGTAATGTACGATTACAAAACAAATTTGAGAAACCATAGTAGAATACAATGCTAGGAAACATTATAGAATAGTAAATTAACTATGAAATTCAAGTAGATGGCTTATTCTTATTTCCAGTTTAGTAAGAGATAGTACTTATGAATTAAAAATTCGAATTTTAAGAATTGATTACTTGTAGTACTTGGTTCAGGTATCAGTTTTGTCATATTCTATGAGAGTTCACTGCATTAAATACTGTGCTAGACTGCAGGATACCATATCGCTTAACTAGCTACTATTTACTGCTTTATCAATCAGACAAGTATTATTGACTACTTTTAAATTCATTCAGCGTCTTTGGAAGAAGAAGTATGTTTTTCACGTATTGAAGTAATATAAGAGTTAGCATTTTAGTATTGAGAATGCCAGAAAATAATTTTTTTATGATGATATCATATTGATTAGATTTTATACTGCAGCTACACATCTCATAAATACTGGTAGCATAAAATGAAAAATAGGCAGTTCATCAATGAATTTAATGAAACTGCTTGATATGTGAGTTAATTAAGTTGAGTTAGATTGATCTATAAAATTATATCTTAGGGCGTGAGGCACAAACTACCATTATTGAGGTTAATTAGCTCATCATTTAACTTAATTTGAGCAGTAATCACGTTTAGATTATGTTAGATGGTATTTTATTGCATTAAGGAAGAATTAGATGATAGCTTCTGATCTTACGAATTGACTTGTAAACAACATGATTCGGATACAAGCCATAAAATATTCTGTAATGGTATCACAGTTTTGAGCGATATATCTGTATCTTATACTGCTTCTTTAATTTGTGATAAAGAAAAAAACTGATTAATTTGCTATCTAGTCGCAACGGCTATATTGGCTTTATACATAATCTCAACGATCGATGTTAAATAAGAGATGAGGGAATAAATACTAGTTATCTTTGATTTAGGGTATGAATTTAAATCCTGTAGATAGATTTATCTACCATCTGTCAATTTGATAACATATTTTGATAAAAAGTGCTATTAATAAATAATATTGCTAATAATGATGATTATCAGAAACTCGAAATTTCAGTGCTAATCATAACTAATTTGTACTTCCCATGACGAAATTGAAACTTCACTTTATGTTGCTTTCTAATCGATTCTAATATTTGATTGCCTTTACTATATACACATCTGCTTTAAAATTTCACTAACTTATTTAGATCTTGATAAATACAGGAATCGATAGTTAGTGTAAGATAATAATACGTGAAACTAGTAGATAGGGAAGGTAATACGTTACCAGATTGACTCAGAAAGAGAAATTAGCGGATAGAGCGATCTGATTTATAAATACCGAAAAAGTCTGAACCAAATCAGGATCATTGCATATTGCTTAGAAAAATTTTTAGTAACAGTTTAGGTTTTCAGATAGCTAATAAGATTGGACTGAAGTATAATTGGTAACGATAAAGATGCCTTGATTTACAAGAAAATATGCTACTACGAGTACAATCTAAAGTCTGTTTACCTTAATAAGAAATATTTTGAACTTACCGTTGTCATAAATATAAGCCCAATCGTGTGTAAATACTTGTACTCTCTAGTCAAATAGTACATTGTTCTGATGGTTAGTTAATTTTCAAGTTTATTATATGTTCGACTGGATATTATAAGATATCGGTGGCGCTTGCAGTTATTATGAAACAGATATCCAGATAAGAAATACCTAGATCATTATTTATTACCCTCTTGTAACTTGAATAAACAGAATACTATTTAATAAATTAGCAATGAATATTCAATCTCAAATTGGACTATATAAAACCAGAAAAAGGGTTGATGATATCTTTTTGTCAAAGAGACTGATTTTTTCCCCTACTTGCTATACATTTATATTATTGTATTAGAAAATCTAACAATACGTAGATTTAGGAGTATTAATCAAGTTTTTATGGTAATCAATTCTGTGATATAAAAGTAATAGTAGAATCATAATTTTAATTTTATTTTATTTTCACGACTTTCATTACGATATAGTAATTGTATAAAAAGGAGAAAAGTTACTTCAGCGTAGTATCCAATTTATTAAATTCTATTACAATTTAACAGCGCCCTTGAGAACAACAAAGATCGCAATAGCAGCTGGCCTGTTTAATGTTATTGACATAAAATAAATTATAAAAGTGGATAATTACATACAATTAAGAATGTTTTTTTAGAGCAAAATACATAAGTATCTATTCGATAATTTAATTTATGATTGTATCAATAAACCAATTGTAAAAGGATGATATTGTAGACTTGCCACGATATCAACAGAATGTTGATTTAACTCTGGTGATAACGCTTGAAAGATGACTTAATGGTAATAGTTTCTATTGTTAGCTACTGATAAACTTTCATGCTCGACTTTATATTAGTAGCCTACTAACTGATAATTTTCTTACGGAAAATGATTTGTTGAATTTATTTAATTGCAGAGTAGATTAGTTTTCCTCGATTGAAATATAAATATATCTATTTTAACTGCCTTTGTTATCAGAGTTGATTTAGCAAACTTGCAGCCAATACCTTCTGCAAATAATGATTTAAAGATTTTGCATAATTAATGACTTGCATTAGCCAATTACTCTAGAAATTAATGCAAATATAAGTGGCATAATTATAGTAAAATGAATATTCTATAATCAGACTAGCAGCAGCCATTATACTCATTGTCTATAATTAGTGAAGTGATTTATAAACCATTTGCAATTAAATAACTGTACAATCTTAAAATTTGATACAAATTAATATAACATGCTATAATTACCGGTAATATAATCCATTGTACGATATATGGAATCATAATTAATTTAAGAAACGCTATTTCTATTTCTGTGCAAGGAAATGCTTGACGATAAAATAATTCTGTTCTTCAATTATAAGATTTTATTATGACTTTAAATTTATACTTGAAAGACTTATTGTAAGAAAATGGGATAAAAGACAATTAGAAAATTAAATCTAATACATAAGATTATTAAGATTGACGAATCGATCTTAGTAACTTCTTTGGAGAATGTTCACACTGAGAGATATGTTTAAAGGATCAGATTACACCTGTAATAATCATGATCAAGTCAAGCAATTATATACGTCAAGAATAAAAAGAAGAATTTAAAGACAATTCTTTTTAAAAATTTGTCAATTATTACTTGATAAAAGAATAAGTACTTTAATATGTTATCCTGCTATAGACTTATTGTTACAAAATTAGGTAATTTATGAAGATAGTTTAGTATGTTGCAAGTTTTTAATGTTCTGGTAATAGCTTTCACTTATTGAAGAGATAATTAATGTGTAAGTAATCTTCCAAAATGTGGAACTTAGAAATAGGTTACAGTCATGTAGAATAAATACAATGTTTACAGCAATAAGTTAAAATATTTCAATCGGGTTATTATTTAATTATACTTTAACAGAAAAAATTAGTTCATTGCGAGCAAAACTAACTTGGTTGAGGATATTTTAAATTTATAAGTGTTACAACGAGAAGACAAAATTGTATTACTAGTTTGATTTACATAAACGAAACTCGTAAAGGATAAAATTTAAATATTTCAATCAGAAAATAATTTATTTCCTCTCTAAAGGTCGAATAAATAGATAATCGAGAGTTACACAATACGATAATTGTTATTCTATGAGCTAAGTAAATGTATTGAAATAAAGAAAATAATTTTCGGCATCGTTTATTCTCATCAACTATATTGAGGACTATTTAATATTTTTTGACTGAGCTGTACAGATATTCAGTAAAAACATGCGTATATACAATGATATAAAACGAAGTAGCAAAGATAGCAAACTACAAATGTCACGTTTGGATTTTCATACTTGTCAACTGTATCAGTGTTATGTACTGTATTAGAGTACAAATATCTATGTTAGGATAATTCTGTTAGCCTATCCTTATTTAGTTAACTTCTAATTTGGATATACTGTGTTTTAATATAGCACTGACTTTTTATGACAGTGACACTTATACACATACTGAAATTAATAGTTATAATAGGGAATGCTAATCATCTACTTACAGTTCAAATCATTGTGATTGTAATTTACTTATGGTAGATTGTAAATTATCATGGAAATGTTCCGTGATAGGACATATCGTAATCTGACTATTCTGTATTAGTCATTACATGTCTATGTTCGTAAATACTGTTGTCTACATTAAGGGAGCAGTAGCTATAATTAATATCTAGTTCAGTAAATGATTCCGATGTTAATTGTATTAAATATGACTCATGAACTATTGAGGAATAGTATATCAATGCAGTATATCGTGAAATAAAGTAGATTCTCAAACTTAGTGTTTAATGTAAAATACGAGGCGTCTAAGTCTTTGTGTAGTCTGCTAGTAGAGCAAAAGTGTTTCTGATAGTGCAGACATCGTTCTTTGATACGTGGTTCAAGGAATTGACTTATTGATCGTACATTACGTTATCTTGTTGCAAAGCTGTTTTGTGGCATTATGTCACGGTACGAACTACCGTGAAGAAATAGTTATCTAAATTTGGTAAATATAATATAGTGATATCATATTATAACTAGTTACTTACAATACGAATTACTCTAATTATAAATGTGTTACAGTAAATTTAATGCTGTGCTGTAATGTGCACTGAAATGATTCTGTGAATGGACATATTGTAGTCCGACTGTGAAAAATTAGTTAGTAGATGTTCTCACCTAAGTATTTTTATAAGATAACTCATGAATGTTAGCTGCTGTAGAAGGGTATATAAGCCCGTCAGATAGTTGAATAAAGTAGTTCTCAATTGTATAGTTGTTTTAACTAGAATCAAAGGCGTCTAAATTCTTGTGAGGTAGTTAAGTGATACTGAATCCCGGAGACTATAGTAATTTAGAGGTTTGTTTTACGTTATCCTTGTCATGAAGCTGGTTTGTGACAACATATCAACATAACAAATACTAGCTCTATTTCTGCCACTTTGTCGTTAATCCATAATTTTAGATTAGGCAACTTCCTGCTAAAGATAATGGCCCATAAATATACATTTATTATTCGTAGTCATTAATGTATCACTGATGTACTTTTATACTGCAATTTTTGTCTCTCTCTACTAGTAGAAAACGCTATTTACTGCAATAAATTATGAGATTAATGCAATAATAGTATATAATCAATGTTATAGAAATGATAATTGATGTTATAAACAAGCCTGATATACGCATTACACAATTGAAGCATTACATCTGCGTTTTCGAGAGAATTTTTTTAAAGGTGATAATAAACTCAATAATTTACGTGAGCGATAATTGGAATAAGCCCTAACATGAGATCTTAGTTACTATTGCTGGCCAGAGATTTTTAATTATGAACAAATATCAGACGCTATATGTTTCCTCCCATGGCAAATATTATGATGCATAATGATACAAGTAATGTTAGCATGAAAAAATTTTTCTTACTCTTTAATAATATAAAATTAAAGTCACATTAAGCTCACAAAATTACATGTATAGTAAGTAATACAAGCAGTATACCTGACTCAAATCTTTATATATAATTAATCATAAAATTGTATTATGTCTTTAATTTTATCTTATTCTACAATAGCTATTATTACCGGAACTGAAAGAACATTCAAAGGAAGAGCAATTGTAGGAATAAGTGATCGTAAAGTAAAAGCTACCTTGATTTGCTTATTTTTTGTAGAATCGTAGTTATCATATTTCCCTTGCTAACACCTTTTTGGCACTTTTAGTTCGTAAATATATAAACTAGTCTGTTATATCAAACTTCACTTCACATAGTAGTGATTACAATATAAAGTTTGTTTTAATAAGCTGTAAAAATTTTGTTCATGCTTTATAATGTATTTTCACCTCTACTACAGATTTGTGCTTTTTAATTACTATGAGGTTGATGCTTCAGCAGTAATGCAAAACTAGTAAAGATGGCAATGAAATTTGGTAAATTGTTATTTTTATTACTGATGTCATAATTTTTGTTATTAAACACTAGTATTTTGACTAAATTAATTACTTGAAAATATTTTTAATTATTTTGATTGTTCTTTTACGTTTGAGTGTTCCTTCATTTTTTACAAATATTTATTTTAAATCTAATTTCGTTGCTAAGTAAAGTATATCGCCTAATTTTGATGGATTAATTCACAAATAAATCAATTCCTAAATTCTATGCATGTTGTTGTTTATGTTATATATTTACTGATAGATTATATCATGTGAGAGAGGAAACTTTGTCTCGCCCTTAAGAAAGGAGTGATATAGACTGGATTATGATTAGTTTATTAAATATTTAATACAATTGGACGTAATTTGAATACGATAAATATATCACTAAGAAATTTTACTAAAACTTAAGGTATGGCATTGTAAGACTGCTTAACCTTTCATATTAGTACGTGCTGGATTTTTATACTGGTTGTAAATCAATGTTGATAAAAATTAGGTATGATATAGGATCAGATATCTCTAGAGCGGAATGCTTTGGCTATATTAGCTATTACTGATAAATTGTGTAATAAATATTCCTGTAATTATGAAATTGAAAATTTTTAGCTAAATAATTATGCAATAAT